CTACCTTAAGCTTATATACCTTGTCGCCGCCGGTAGGATCAGGCTTGCTAGGATAAGATTAAGCTTTACCCCCAAAGGATATATTCAGCATGGGCTCCGGATTATATATGACCGATAGGTAGGTACTAACAGTTATTCACGATTGCGAAAATTAGGCCAACTTTTGGTGTGTATGATGAGGATAGGTTTAGAGGACTTATGATAGATAATTGCGGATGAATACCGTTACTTAGAGGTACTTAATGCTAATTGATGACTTTTTGAGGCATATTCTTCAAAATCTCTAGTTAGCTTAAGCCTGAAAAGGATTTTACTCGACGTGGATATCGATAACATACCACCTATCTACTCTCTCTCTCTCTCTCTTTCTCTTTAGAGAGATATTACCTCGTGTTTTTCGGTTAAGAGGTAACTTATATAGGTAAGAAGAGGTTGTATAACGCGATACTTTTACTAGTCTATAAGATATCTAATGAGACAAGCGTGCCCCTTAAAATCTTTATTCTCTCAACCAAATCAGTTTCTCTAGTAGTAACTAATTTAAAGGTTGGGATCATCAAATCGTTTGTAGTATCGCCATCGGCAATTGGGGGTGGATTGAGGATTTTGATGATGAAACTCATCCGCTGCAGGAGATGCCTAGCCAGTTGCAATACCAAAGTGATTTGGAGGGCTGAAGAGTTTGGCAAGGAGAAAGATCCGACTTTCACATCGGGCATCTGAACATAGTCTTCGGGTGCCGTGACTGAGGAGCGGTCTAAACACGCTTGCATGTTGCCGAAGATGTCGTCATAAATTTCGATTAGCCTCTGATAGCAGGAGAGAACTAATAAAAAAGATGCCTGGTCAAATGAAGGAAGTGGAGTGATGCTAGGCCCACAGATAGGAGACATGACTGAATCCTGAGCCGAACCTGCTGGCTGACGGGGATATAACTTGTCAAGCACCTCGATGAACCTCTGGGATAATTGGAATGTTTTGTCTATGGCGAAGTCCTTATCCTTCCAACTCAACGGTTGCGATGTAGAGGTCGGAGGTTTAGGAATGGCAGAGGAAAGCGAGAATGTTTCAACGTTCAAATCGGAGAGTCTTTGGATGATATCCAATGGCAGACAAGGAGGTTCGTGCACATTGACCCGCAAAGGATCTTGGTTCCCCGATGGACTACCATTCTTCAAAGGAGATTGTTGTTCGGTAGACAGCATGGTCCACTCATGATTAAATCGTTCTTGCCAAGTATTGGAAGTGCCCTGTGATGACATCTGTGATAAAGGCGGGCTTGCAGATGTGACAAGGGTGGGCGAAGAGCCAGAGGTGGAGTCCGTGATAAGGGGTGACTCCCACAACACCGAGTCGCACTGGAAGAGGTCGCTACCAAGATTAAAATTCATATTATGAAGAGGAATCTGGCAAATAGGATCGGTAGTAGAGATAGTATTGGAGCGCGGTTTCCATTGGTTTTTGCTGAGTCGAGATTATCCTCTCCGTTGACGGAACTATTCCGATCATCTCGAAGGCTGTTCATCGCCTCGGGCTTCAACCCCTTTTTACTGCGAAGAGATGGGCTCCAAGTACAGGTTGCCCTAGCTCTAGCACAACGGACACAGGCGCCCCCAGATGCAATTCTCATGCACCTTAGTTTTTGACCGTGGCATCTGTCGCAGGCAGATCGTTGGATGGGGTCAGGCATACTAAGATTCATCCGAAAGTTGTTATTAAGATGAGTACCTAGGTACCAGGTATGAAATAGTATAAATTAGGTATCTAAGGATTTAAGACGAGCAAATATTAAAATATTCATCAGAATTTAGTGTATGTTTAGCTATTTAGAGAGAGAGTTGTGAAGAAGTCTGAGATTATGTGATTTCTAGGAGTGATGGGTGGATTTCGTTCTAGCCCGAAGAACTCTAGAGCTGAGAAGTTATGTAATCCATCGTAGAGTGGACCACTTCATCACAATGAGAATATGGCAATACTTGGATAGCTATCTTAATATGACCTTCCTTATCCAATTTTGCGTAGTTTATTGAAGTTATTCGATTATAGTCATTAATGAGGTTCTGCCTCGCAACTGTATCTTTATAAGAGACATCGTCTTCGAAGGCATTATCATAAAATAAATTTGACAATTATTTAATATTTATAGTTAGTAATATTCAGCCGAAAACCAAGCTTAGTATTACCAAGAAGTTCAATTCTCGATTATTAAGATGTATTGCTCCAAGTCTTCGGTAGTTCCTTGTTAGAATTCGGTAGTCCCACAAATGTTCGGAAGATAGTGGGTCTCTTCGGCGGTTGGTAATCCCCCCTTTAACTCGGGACCCTGCCGAAGAGAGTGGTAACGTATTATATAGCAGAACGACCTTAGCTATTCTTATTACTTACCATAGGAATAGCTTTTGATGTAAGTTCCTTTGCACGCTAATTTATCTCGTCTATCCTTTGTGTGTTCGTTATGATATCTTGATCTGCCCAACATTACTTTATTATATGTGTTAGCCCCAGATCTTGCACCTGATAATAGAAACAAAAAGATGAGCAACGGAGAAAAGATATCGATTGAAGATCTTACTTCACCCCAAAATGGCCAAGTAATGGTACCTGAGGAGAAATACGAGGAGCCCGAGGAGCGACTTAGCCCTACGGCCACATTCTTGCTCGTTCTATCTTTGACGGTAAGAACCCCTTTACCCGAGCGAATTAAGCAAGTGGGATCGCTTACATTATAAAAGGTATCTACTTTCACTTCATTGCCGCTATCGAGCAGGTATGGCACTATCTACTATGGAAGGCCTTATTGCAAAAATCAGAAAATTTAACTCAGCCTCCAGACGATTGTCGCAACTGCAGTACCAACTATAGCCAAATCATTCCAAGCTACGGAACTGGAATATGCTTGGATAGGGACAGCATATCTCCTGCCAGCAGCCGGTACGTCGTTAGCTTAGGTGCTTTAGTCCTTACGAGTTAACAACTGATTGATTCATCTCGTAGCTGCTACTCCACCTTGGGGGAAAATTAGTGACATTTTCGGTCGCAAACCTATCCTACTCACGGCTATCATCGTATTTCTCATTGGCTCTCTCGTAGGAGCGTTTGCGAATAATATGAACACGCTCATCGCAGGCAGAGTAATACAGGGAATCGGTGGTGGGGGGATATTGGGATTGTCGGTAACCATCGTAGGGGATGTTTTTAGTCCTCGGTATATACTTCTCTTTATCTGGTTGATAATTAAGCTGACATCTCGGCAGTGATCGAAGCAAGTACTACGGTATACTAGGTGTGACTTGGGGATTGGCGTGTGGCCTAGGCCCCGTCGTCGGCGGTGCTTTTGCTGAGTTCGTATCTTGGAGGTGGTGCTTCTGGATCAACTGTAAGTCCCGTAGGAAACTACCGTGAAGGCACCTAGGCTAATTTACCTAAAGTACCAATTGCTGGCCTAGCTGGCGTATTCGTATGCTTCTTCCTCAAGGTTCATACGCCTAAGACTCCTATCATTGAAGGACTTCTTGCGATGGACTGGCTTGGCACGATAACAATTGTAGGTGCCACCGTGATGTTCCTACTGGGAATTGGCTACGGAGGGGCAGCCAAACCATGGGACTCTCCCGTCGTAATCTGCCTTATAATCTTCGGAGTCGTGACAGTTGGCTTATATGTCCTCATTGAGTGGAAAGTGGCCAGATACCCAATTACTCCACTCAGGCTTTTTCAGTCGACTTCTAATATCGCTTCCTTCGGAATTGCATATATTCACGGCGCAATCTTTATCGCACACCTTTACTACCTTCCTCTCTACTTCCAGGCCGTCCTTGGTGCGAGTCCGATCATGTCGGGTGTTTATCTCCTACCAGTTGCTGTCACACTATGTGTGGTATCGAGCCTGACAGGTGTCTATATAAGCAAGTCAGGTAGATATCGACCACCAATCTACTTAGGGTTTGTCTTGATGATCCTAGGAACTGGCCTTTATATCAATCTCCAGGATTATCCATCATGGCCACGCATTATTATCTACCAGATTATAGCAGGTATCGGCATCGGTCCTATTTTCCAGGCCCCTATTGTGGCAGTGTTCAGCCTTACGAAGCCTGCAGACATTGCAAGTGCGGCAGCAACACTGCTTTTCATGCGCGATATTGCAACAGCTATGTCAATCGTTTTCGGAGGAGTTATTTTTCAGAATCGTATGGCGGCACAGTTAGGAGAGATTGTCGCAGCTCTTCCATCTGATAAAGCCACACAAATAATTGGGGGTGAAGCCTCCGGTGCACTAAGTATTATCCCAACTCTGCCACATGATCAAAGACAGGTGGTAGTTGGAGTATATAACGAGAGTCTTCGGGCTGAATGGATTTTCTATACTGCACTTGGAGTTGTCGGAATGTTTTTGAGCTTGCTTATCAGTAAACAAGTATTGTCTAGGGAACACAAAATCCACAAGACGGGGTTAGAAACACAAGAAGCAGCTCGATTGGAGGAGGCTGAAAAGAAAAAGCTCAATGTGAATATATAACTTTAGGTACGATATGAAGTCCCTTGGGCGTTTGTCAGGGGTAAAGGGGACCTACGTATCCGATTCAGGGGTCGGTTGAAGCTCGGAACAAGGCAAAAGCTGAAAGTGGGAAGATGCGGTCAGCTTAATTCAGCTGGTCTCCACTACTTCGTCATCGCAACTTTATTTTTTTCTATTATATTTATTATCTGCTTCATCTTTTCTTCAATTCTTTCGTAAATATAGGAATTGACGAATAATGGAGCTTTATTTGTGTCGAATTATCTACCGAGTAGCACTTTAACCGAATGCCGTTTCCATCGAATAATACCAATCTCATCGCGAAGTGTACAAACACGATCCTCTGCTACCTGCGAGCTGTACCTCTCTGGGGTGTCGCTCTAATCATACTACTCCTCGGATTCCTTCGGACGCAATTTGTAACTACTACTACTAGCAGTAGAATATCGGGATCGAACGGAATACCTAAAAAATAACCACAATGGCGTCTGCTGCCGGCGCAGCTAATAGAGTGCTGAGAGTCACTGGACCGATACTCCTACCGGCTGTCGCTTATGGTGTCTACAAAGGGAACGTGATGGCAATGCTTCAGTCTTTCTTTACAGGCCCCGGTAGGACGAGTCGTGTTATAGCTCTAGTAATCGTACTTGTGAATTGGAAAAGCCTACCTTTTGCGTGGACTGTAAGTAATCCCTAGGCTGGTCGTCCTATATCCATGGAAAGACATTTACTAAAAGAAATGCTCATAGTTCCGCGTTTTCGGCGCCATGATAACGCACATAGGTCTTAGACGCTTTCATACACACACTCCCGACCAACTCTTCCACCCAATAATCACGCCATCTCATGTTTCGCTGCTCGAAGTCGATTATAATATCCACAAGTCTAACTCGACCTACTTCGCCGACCTTGACGTCAGCCGTTCTCAACTAGTCTCCCACTTATTCGCGCGCGGCTGTCGCGAGCTTGCAAATAATACCTCAACACGTCTTGTGATAGATCCATCAGACCCTTCGAAACCGGCCAAGGGCAAATTCGGCGTTATGCTCGGTGCTGTGCAATGCAGCTTCAAGAAGGAGCTACAGCCGTATCAAAAATATGAGATGTGGTCTCGTGTCCTGAGTTGGGATCGCAAATGGCTTTACATTGTAACGCATTTTGTTGAGCATGGTGCCGTCAAACCGCGGTCTTGGGACGAGGGAAGCTTTGGCACGACAAGGAAAGACAAAGGGAAGGTTGAGGATTGGGAGAAGAAGATACATGCTACAGCCATTAGCAAGTATGTATTCAAGATCGGACGGTTAACAGTACATCCCGCTATCCTTATCGACGCCAGTGGAATGCTACCAGAGCGGCCTGACGGTTGGGTCACTACAGAGAACGGAATGGCGCCTCCATCTCATCTGATCACTGGTCATGCCGTTAGTGAAGCTGAAGCTAAGGAAGGACATGGCAACTGGGATTGGAAGCGAACGGAAGAATTACGTAAGAAAGGTTACGAGTTTGCAGCACATTTCGCGGCGCTAGATGGTTTACAAAGCCAATTTGATAGCGGTGAAGATGGGGCTCTTGGTAGATTTGGCCTCGCATGATTTATACCGCATCTACACACTAGACTTTTAATCTCACGATATATGCAACTGATCGTGTATTATACAGATTCGGAATTATATCCATAGACTCAGCCTTAGAAGAGTAAACATCGAAGACAATTACGAACTACCAATTGATTTTTAAGCCTCCCCGCCTGCTCTTATTGATTTAAGTATACACATGATCTGAAGACTACCATCAAAACGTTATATAAAAGAAGTTTACTATTAACCACACCATGCCATGCCAACCATTTATAGAGCTAAAGCAGCTATGGCCGCAGCAAAACCTAGACCGGCAACAGCTCGGTTACCGGCTCCGGGGGTCGCAGTTGGGGTCGAAGCCGCATCGGTAGCCGAGCCGATAACAGAGCCGATCGCAGACGTGGCAGCAGCGCTAGCACTCGATATGGCCGAAGAAACGGCAGCACCACCGGCGGCAGCCGCGACATTTGCGCAGATCTCTCCGGAAAGCTTTGTGGTATCTGTTTCTCTATTAGTCGTCGTATTCCTTTTGCCAAAAGTATTACACAGAAGCACTGGGTTAATTGTGATTTAGAATGTTCGAAAACAAGGGGTAAACATACCAACTAGTTCATCGGCACTACAAGAAGTCGACACGCAGGTAATAGCCTCCTTGGTCAGGTCGTCGATCTTGCTGCATTGGCACTTGTTGTCGGTGGTCGAGCAGCCAACCTTGGTCGAGGCGCTGTCTAAGCACGGCTTCGCGCAGGACGGAATCTGCGAGATAAGCTCTTGCAGACTCTCGGCGGTGACCGCGGCGGCGAAAAGAGCGATGGCGAGGGTCTTGAACTGCATTTTGAATATGTATCGATGTTTTATTTCCACGTAAAGGAGTGTATGTTCGTTTTCTTCGACCGGCGATGAAAATGTAACGAGTAGTCGACGTGGTAAAGTAGAATGAGCGTGTAAGTGAGGATGTTCAATAAGAAGAGACGGGCAAGAGAACAAACGTTTAGGGTAAACCAACTTCGATACTGAGGCGTCGCAGCTTTTTTATCTACATGGTACGTTTGATGAGATGTCCTGACATATGTACACTACCTACATACTAGGTAGTATCATTGAATGATACCCACCTCCATAAGATCCTACTAGTATACCTTGGCAGCCCTTGACTAACTTAGCGTATGGACACAATTACCAAGATCGGCCAGAGTTTATCTCATCATGGCCAAGCTTGAGGTTTTTCTGTATGGCTATATGACACCAGCAGGGTTTCTCCCCCGTTCTGTCCCAACAGAATCTTAGCTTCTCTCATTTTATGTAAAGAGATAGGTACCTACGGCGTGAGGGGTAATAGACAGGAGACATAAATAAGACAATGCGATACTCCTATATGACTCGATGTCTCGTCTAATGTGATAGCCTATTAACGGCAGTTCAGATTTCTTCGAGAACAAGAAGTTAAAAATGCGCCCCTTACCTGCAACATCTGCAGTTCCTTGCAGGGGAAAAGATATCCTTAGATATCACGGTTCTATTCAGCCCCCGTTTGATACTAGGGGTCCTTGTAATTTCATGCATTAGCTCAGGGGTATAGCTTTAGGAGGCCTAGTGTTATCCCAAGTAACAGCTCTATCCATGTCAGGTTTGAAACGGAAACTTTCTATTTTGCGGGGATCTCAGAAACGCTTCTTATTGATGGATAGGCGAGCTGGCGGACAGGCAGGATATATACATGGTTACCTAAGTACCTACCTAACCTATATAGCTGGTAGACGCAGTCGTAGTTCTTCTGCAGAGTCTTCGCACTTCAACAAGTCAACATGTCAGCACGTCAGCAGCTTTATCAAAATAAGTTTCGCTATAACCTCTCTACAAGGCTATACAAGGAACAAGGCGCCTTCTACATTACACAATTTACCATATCAAATCGAATAATTAATAATAGGAAATGTTTTACTTTACAACCATCAACATCATAAGTGGCGTGAACCACGGGTGCTTTACCTTAAAAAAGCCTTCGGGAACAAGGCTTAGATACAAAAGGGAAAATATTTTCAGCTGCTTGAATCATTCATAGCCAAATAGGAAGAGATTTCCATGGAATATTTATGTAGAAGCCAGCTGAAATGCGGGGGTTCGGGGTATATCGGTATGACAGGCGACGATGAATGGTTGCTAGTCATCGGCGAGGGCCGCTATGAATGTGATAGCCTTGAGAGTGAGGGTTGGGCTTCTCATCCTCATGGTTGCTCTTATAAATCGCAGCCTGACTTGTTTAGACGTCGTACACATTAGCAGCTGTACTCTTAACATAATATAGCTTCTAAGGAATCGAACGCAAATCCCTAACCTATTATATTAACCATGGGTCGTGATATGAAAGGAAATATCGCCATGACTAAGGCGCTTCCCCTGCCGCCTCCTCTCGTCCCAGTTCCCGACGATGCCGCCCTTCCCGGCGATGAGTTATGCTCGGCTTGTGCCGCATTAAAACTAACGGTCCGGCGCTTCGTCGTCTTCCCCGACGATCCCGAATACCAGAAGTGGACAGAAAGAGTCACCAAGCCCGTATATCACGCCTCTATCGCCGATATTCGGGGCCGTACTAACTGTCCTCTGTGCCGACTGCTTCTCGTAGCGCTTGGCAGCGAACGCGTCCCCAATGTCGACCGTCGCAACCGAGATGTGCATGTCGGTATTAGCTGGGGCGCTGACGGGCACGCGCCGTCGCTCGACGAACGATGGGCCACGCTCAGTGACATTCGTTCTATATGGCCTGAACTTATCGTCGAGGGCGGCAATCCTGCCGACATCGACATCGAGACGGTGAACATTTTCCCGCGGATCACCCTACTACTTAACGATGCGCCAGCCGACACACCTCCCGCCGCCTTCCCCTTCCTCCCACGCCCAGTGCGCCGCGACTATATCGACTTCGACCTCGTGCGCTACTGGTTAGCCATATGTGAGACGCGCCATCGTCGGGTATGCCAGTCCAAGCGCATCATGCGCGAGATGGACTGGGGCTCGCCTGTGATAGCCGTTCCAGACTTTCGCTGCATTGATCTCGAGCAGGACTGCCTTGTGCATATCCGCAGCGCGGACTCTGACCTGCGGTATGCTGCTCTTAGCTACGTCTGGGGCCAAGGTGGTACCGACGAGGACTTTTTCAAAACTCTGACTACGAATGTCATTGAACGCGAGACGCCCGGCTTCTTCGCCCGCAAGGAGAGCCAAGACCGCCTGCCGGCCACAATCCGCGATGCCATGACGGTGGCACGGAGACTAGGCCTGCGGTATATCTGGGTTGATAGCCTGTGCATCGTGCAGGACGGCAAAGGCGAGGATTGGCTTAAGGCCATTCAGAACATGGACTTAATATACGGCGCTGCCTACGTAGTCATATGTGCGGCAGGTAGCGCAAGTGCATTCGAGGGCATTAACGGTGTTGAGAAGAAGCGCGGATCACGTAGTAATGTGCGGAACATAGAGCAGATTGCTGACGGCTTTCGACTCGCCTATTGCGGGGACAGTGACACTGAACTAGAGGACTTTCCATATTATACCCGCGGGTGGACGTGAGTTTTCGTCGACCTTTCTACGAGGATGTCCTTTTCGTGCCGGCTAATTATTTCTCACAGTTACCAGGAGCAGCATTTCGGCAGCCGCGTCCTTATATTCACTGACCACTCCGTCAGTCTGCAATGTCGTTGCGAGGTGAACTTTTCAGAGGACACATTTGAGGATACAACAGAGATCAAAAAGCTGCCCAGGTCATCCTTCGCAGGCAACGACAACGATATTGGCAATATTGTCGAAGGCCACATTCAGAATTATTCAGAGCGCCACCTAACCAAAGCAACGGATATCTACCGTGCCTTTGCTGGCGTCGCGCGTCAAATCCGCCGTAACTTAAAGTCGGATCTATGCCACGGCTTACCAGCGCGCTTCTTTGATTGGTTTTTACTTTGGCAACCAGGAAAAGACGCTCCGCAGCGTCGGGCCGTCGCGCCGAGCTGGTCGTGGGCCGGGTGGCACGATTCTGCATGGTCGCGTATCTGGGACTGGTATACGCGCGACATGAAGGTCGTGCGGCACGGTATTAGGAAGCGCACTTGGATCATATGGTATCAACGTAAGGGACATGAGTCGACGAGTTGTGAACTCGTATGGAGACACCACAAGGATGATAAGGGGAGGGAGTTGAACTTTTACGGCGGGCCGATGCGCAAGAAGGAGCGCTTTGCTCTTGCCATTGATTGTTCGACCACTGAGCCGACTGCCCGGACGCTGACGGGAGATGGACTGCCGCAGTATACGGATGATATTCTTAGCGAAAACCCGGGGTCCGGACTTTTGCAGTTCTGGACCGTGTCAGCCACGTTCGAGCTGCGTCGGGTCGGGAAAGGCGACGATGGCGTCTACGGGCAGCGAGTCCCGAGACAAGAGATAGAAACTTCATCCGAATCCTCTGATAACAATAGCGATGATTATAGCTCCGACTTTAACTCCAACGAAGACGATAACGACGAAGATTATGAGTCTGATTCTGACGATGACAATGATGACGATGACGATGATTATGACTCTGAGTCTAGTAATGATGAAGATGACGATTTCGATCCTGATAAGCAACCCGGAATTAAGCTCATCATAGCTGGACAGTCGGGCCTTGCACTCGGCCGCATTTACGTGCCGACAAACTGGAGCGGGCTCTCCGAGCTCGATGCGTCCAACGACAGTCCATACCGACGCGAGTTCGTGGTTCTCTGCGAGGCTCGTGACGAGCGGGCGAAGAACTTTGACATTGTTGAAGAGGATGGCGGATGGCGCTATCGCGTTATGTTGGTAGATTCCAAGTGCGGTGGGCAGTACTTTGAGAAGGTATCGGTCGGGTCTATTGGCTTAGGAGACTTGAATGAGGCGGTTGGAGGACTGGCTTGGAAAGAGTTCATTCTCGGGTAAGTGAATTAGAAAAGGGGTTTGGAACTATGATTTTAGTGATAGTAGCATTCTACATCTGGATAGTTGTATGTAGAGAAAACAAATATGATAGGGAAGTAGGAGAGATTTAATATAAATGGAGACTAAATGATAAAATGGATAAATTAAAGGTCAATTTAGGTTATGTTGATTAGAAGAAAAAAGGGGGGGCCTGGCTTCTAGGTTAGTATTTAAGGTTTACTTCGTCCCGGATATTTATTATAACAACTAGGCTTAAGGTTTAACCTCTGATGCTTAGCTCTAAACTCTCCAGCCTCTCCCTTGTTATTGTAAGCGTGCAGATGTCGTTCAAATAAAGGTAGATAATTTAACGTCAATCACATCAAAAAACGTAAGCATCTTTTTTAATACTATCTTATAGGCTGACCTCAGTCGGTCTCCCAGTTTCGCTCTTACATAGAAATAGCGAGTACTTAGGTACCTGAGAATGATATGGCATAAGCACCTAGGTTGCACAGAATCTGTAAGTAGCATCATTTATAGGAAATGTTTGCAGGATCGAAAAGTTTTATTGTCAGAATTTAAATGCCTTCTAGAAAAGATACAGTACATTGATATTTACCTACCTTGTCTCCTTAACTAAACTTCGCCAATACCATAAACACAGAAATTATAAATATAAACTATTTAGAAGGGATATATGCAACCCCTATAGACCTAAAGACGTCTTTGTGTTTCTTTTAGGTGTTATAGCTGTTAGTTGAAGAATATGATCAATACTCGGAGCGCAACTCAGCTTACCAATACAGCATATATGCCAACAATGGTCCCGTCCTCTGGTGTAAGTATGTCAGAGAAATATTCGTCCTTAGGCAGCTGGTCGGTGCAAGAAGGAGGGAATTCAACAGCGCGGCCGCGGTTAGTATAGAAGAACTTGAATATCATTAGCATATACTCACCGCCTTATCTAAACGATATTAACTACCTAAGGTAGTGAACTACTTACCTTCAGGCCAAATATGAAACTAGGGTCTTCATAAAAAGCTTCCAAGCCTGTAATACGTTCACCGAGATCCGACTCAAGATCCATGTGATAAACCTCCGAGTTGAATAACCCCTCATCGGGGATTTGACCAAGTAGGATAGAAGCTCTACCCTGGATAGGACGGCTGAAGGAGAATTCGAGACCCCAAATATGAGTGCGGTCGGCGTACATACCAAGGTCTGTATTATCGACAACCCAGACTGTTATCCTAGTTAGTTGAGGGAGCTGTGTTCCATCTACTCCTCCAAAAGTAGAAGAGAAAAAGGTAAACTGTCTCTGTAGTCCTTTAGAAGTGTACTGTGGGGGCCGAAGAACGATAATTCCTTATGGGGAATTTCGCCATGCCAAATAGCAGTCTCTCGTAAGCTCAAAGGCTGATGATGGAGGGTTGAGGGGGAGCCCGGTGATGTATCCTTGCCACTTGAAATAGACAGTGAGACTAATTTCACGGCCTACGGAAATTATTAGAGAATGTATATCGTATCTGGGACTGAAATAACCTACATCAAATCCTCCTTTGAGATCTTGGGGTGGCAGGTGGGTAGGTAGAACAAGTACTCTCTGGGAAAGGTCATACCAATCCCCCACCCACATCGAGGGCTCTCCTACACTAGATAATATTCGAATGCCTCGAATTCCTTTGTTATCGAAGGCGATGTGAAACCCAATCAATGTCATCACCTGTTGGTATTCCTCCCAAGTAACATTGGCTCCATCATCAGTATTACAGTACCCGAATAGAGTGCTCTGACCGTTATCATACACAATTCGAATCCCAGAAATATACGTTTTATTCATAATCTTGACGGTCGACACGTAGATATTTTTCGGAGTGGTTCCTAGAGTGATCTTTCTCTCATACAGCGACCTGGCCCCAGACCTGTATTGTTCGGTCGGGGTGTGTAGGGTAGGTCCTGCCGTGACCCAGTGGTCGCTGTTCGGTATGCCATCAGGCTCGAATAGGCTGCGGATTTTTTTGCCATGGCATGAGTTGTAGCTCCGTCTACGATTAATGAGGTTACAGAGATGACGAGCTAAGGACCAAACCCGTTTCCTATTCGCCATACTTGGCAGGCCAGCTAATAATTTTGTTTTTTGGAAGAGCTGTCGCCAGTCTCTACCAGCTGAGTGAGTCATATTTGCTTCGAAGACGTATTCAAATTCTCTCCCTTCCCAGAAACGCGAGAGCCAAAATCCATCTGGTAAGACAAGAGATGCATATACCGGCGAGGCTAACCTAAGATTGACTACGTCTCTCGAGTCCATCCAAGTAAGAATCATGTGTAAGATTTCGGTTGGTAGCTTAGTTAAAGGATCACCTCCGGTTGAATAAATAGTAGGTATCTCGTAAGCAGCACTCGTGTCATTCCGAACATATAAATCGATGCTATCAGTGAATAGACGGCGTAGTTCGGGAATGTTCAGTGGATCATGTGTGTATATGTCCGTCTTAAGGTTAGCTAGAGCTAGGTCAGGTTCCTCTCCAGGACAGAATAAGTTAATATCCCTAGGAGGACCAATAAGGCCTTCATAGTCATGGCCCCAGTCGAGGGGGCCGTGTTTGTATGGCTGTGACCTACAAAGATCAAGAATGGCCTGGAGATCAAGACAACTCCCATAGATAGGACAAGCGACAGATAGAATTTCCAAGCAGGATGAGTGAAAAGGAAATCCCCATGCAGGTTGCGGTGCTAGAGGAGGATTTGGTGGATATTTGCCGCCAAATTTTGTAACCATGAGACGTATCCCAATGTCAGGTTCTTCATAATTGATGCCGGGGAGATCCGCATCGACGGAATCGTCCAGAGGTATAACATCCTCGAATTGTCGTCTTTCTCCAATCCCAGAGAGGCGGGCCTCATTCCAATTTTGCAATATGGTATATACTATAAAAGTGGTTAATTGGGTAGGCCTTGAGGCCACCGGGACACTCACTGACGCGAAACTTTTGCAACCAGATAACAGAGTGTAATATATCTTCCACCGGGGCACCGCAAAGGACGCAAGATACGGAAGTAATTGGCATATTGATGAAGTCTTCAAGTAAGGTAGGTACATAACATATCTAAGGTACCTAAATAAAAAACTAACTAGAATGCCTCAGCTTGCTTACATGCCCAAAAAGATATTTACCAAAGGAAAATGAGGGGATACTCAAGCAAGGGACCTAAACATGTCGGTGGAATTGAGCATCATGATTGGTTGGTCATTTTGTCTTCTAGTTCATAGAATAGAGGAATCAATACATCGTTTTTAATCTAAAAATACATTGGTAACCATTATAACTTATAATACGCATTGAATATAAAGAACCAGCTAAAAGGGAATGATAAAATCAACTATTTAAATATCTCTCCAATGACTCCGGATGCCACTTGCACTTATCTGCCAAACTAATCCTGCTTCTCGGCTTCTTTGGTACCCTTGCTAACCAGTACAACAATACTGCGAGTGCCACATTGATGACATTGTAAACGATAGTAACTCCCCACTGCCACCAGCGGTCCTGGAAGCGTACGCCGAATCTGGCCAGTAACGCATCAGCAGTGCTAGATACGCACACTCGACACCCTTCCATATCTTCAGCGTTCTCGACCAAAACCGTGGGTGGGTTGAGGTACGAGGCACAGGATTGGCCGGGTGTAGGATCTAGTTTATAGATGGCTATGTCGGAGCAGGTGATATTTACCCCTGAGAGGCCGGTCGCCATGATAGCAGACATGTAGTATGATAGTGGAGTCGCCCGGTACATGAAAATCCAGAATTTCTGGAGGGCGCTGGGAGGCACGAGAACTCTGTAAGTAGGTTAGTATAAGGCCCTTTGCGATGCAAGGAAAATGGCAATAGTTACCCAGAAAATATTAGCGACAGCATAAATAAGAGGTTTCCGTTGTTAATCCCAGCCGGAATGTTGGGCATTATGGTCATTAGCATTTGTGAGAGAGTCTGAAATAAAACAAGCATCGACCAAATCAACAGAAATATGAGACCACTACGGCTATTAAGCTCGTCCTGTGCGATCGCATTCTTCCAGAGGCCTAATGGGTAATACCACGATACGTACGCGATGACGCTAATGACAGTTTGTGATGCGAGCTCAACTATGATATTTGAGGCAAGAAATACGATCCACGAGTACGTTCGGGATTGGCGCTCTCGATTCTCATACAAGGTTCGACTGTTGTAGAATCGTTCCATTATAAGTTGTACATATGTTCCGAAAATTGTAGAAAATACGAAAAGAGAGAAGATCTGGTTTTGGATGTCTTGGGATGTTGTTCCCGAGGCCCAGAAGCTCACTCCGTTGACGAATGCCTAGGTAAATACAAAATTAGAAACTGGGTTCTTGATAAAGTGAAAGAGGTACCTACATAACCAAATGTGGTAAGGCTCTTGGAATAGAGGTATTCCGGAGATCTCCAGTCATGCTGAAAAGCTCTCTTAGTAACGATGCCAAGTTGGTACCAGAAGGTGGTTGCAAATTCAGTAGCACGGCTATCACCAAGAGATCTTGCTTTTGGGACCGTAGATAACCGTTGGTTCATTTGACCACACTCCTTTTTAACAGCGGCACATTCCGCGGATCTGTCCCATATCTCTCCCCAGTTTAATGAGTGCCCGGCGTCATCTATGTTGGTGACTTCCATCATCCACTCGGCAGGGTTCTCATGGGCAAGGCATTCCCGGGCTCCGTGGCTTTCAAAGTAATTGATTAGTGTGCGAAATTGCGGCCCAAAATCGCCGAAATACACCGTGTGGCCCTCCTTAAGGAAGAGCAGCTTATCGAATAGGGTGAGTATAGGACTCGACGGCTGATGGATGGTGCATAGGATTGCTTGTCCGCTATCTGTTAATCTTCTTAGGAGAGTACAGAAAGACCAAGATGAGTCACTGTCGAGGCCGCTCGTTGGTTCATCGAGAAATAAGAGAAGTTCTGGTCGTGCGGCCAGCTCAGTGCCAATTGTGACACGCTTCTTTTGTTCGACGTTGAGCCTACCGACCACGGCATGTTGAAACGCCTGCATATCGAGCATCTCTATAACATGGTCGACATAAGCTATCTTTTCGTCATTGGAGTAATGCTCGGGCTGCCGGAGCAAGGCACTAAACGTGAGTGACTCTCGAACAGATGCTGTTTCGAGGTGTATATCCTCTTGCTGAGCGTAGCCAATCTTGCGAGAAAATGCGATGTTCTGGTAGCATGTATCTACTACTTTACTACCAGTGACAACCCCAATAGTAGTTCGCTCGGCGAGAACATTTAGAAGAGTTGTCTTGCCAGCACCGGATGAACCCTGAGAGTGTGAGAATAGGTGTTAATATGGTAGGAAATGTACTTACCATGAGTGCAGTCAAAGTTCCCGGTTTGATCCAACCATCTATGTTATCCAAAATAACTTTCTCCTGTTTTCCGTCTTTGATTTTATAAGTGAGATTGCTCCAAAGAAGGTTTGCACCATCATTTGTATCAATTATACCATAGTTGCTGTTCTTATCATTCTTCAATTTCTCAAGGCTATCTCGAGGGGCTTTACCCTTCTCTTCGTCGTCGGGGATGGAATTGGTGGGCATGTGACCCCTCTGGAATAGTAAAACATCTGACCTTGGCGGAAGCATTGTAATGAACTCGGTGGCGAGAATATAAACAGAAGAACAAAATATTAAGAGGGCAATTAAAATGCCAAGATTCCTGTACACGTTAACCTTAGAATAGATTTAGGAATTGTTTAACAAACCTCCAAAGATGTCCACTCGTAAATCCAAATTGTGCGGCAATATAATCATCCCCTGACACAGATGTTTGTCCTTGTCTAGAACCAACCACAGCGCAAATAAATGGCGAAAGATCATTGCGTATCTCAGGGAAGAAATTGCTACAGTTGAATTCTCGTCCAGAAAACTAAACAACTATTGGTAAGCGAGATGCCAATTGGGTTGATATGACACTTACTTCATTGATGATCATAGCTTCAAAGGCGTAGTGCACCGGATTGATATATGTAAACCATTGAAGCCACGGGCGCATTTCTCGAAATGGTATCACGAATCCACTGTAGATAGTTAATAGTACAACAAGTACTGCCCCAGGAGGTTGAGAGCCAGCCAGAGTTCGAGACATAGCCCCCATGGATCTATATACCACAGATCCGTTGAGTAGACTCATCAATCCAAATAGATAGTATGTAAAGAAAGCTCCAGGGGTACGTCGAAGATTACTTAGGAAGTAAAGTGGGCAGTTAAAAGCGAATGTGAGCACGAGCTTGTTCGGTAGGTCGCAGACGAAGGATGCGATCGCTTCAGTGAAGGCATGGTAAAATCCATATTGAACATGTTTCTCGATGATTGGGCGATCATCCCATAATGCTACGGACTAGTAGGTGTAAGAAACAAGTATGATAAATGTCATAGTGTGGGATAGCTTCTTACCTCGAAGGCGGCCAGTGTTGTGTTGACCAGACTAGTGAAAAACAGTAGCACTCCGCGACCAAAGAAACTATTGGTGTCTTCTTTCATGTTGTAAAACATGCTACCGAGGATAAGGGAAACAACGAAGTTCCCCATGATAGTGGATATTGGTACTGTTAGATTATTACGTAGACGAAGGAACCCCCGATTCACACAGAGTCCGATTTGCATCGGGACTGGGAGAGCATAGGGGGTTCTATCTTTTGTTAGTAATCCCAACATATCGTATTATCGGACACCAACTTAACTTACCTTCGCTCTTCGAATCCTTTCAGTTCCCTCCGCATTGCTCGGAGATTCTTCTCGTCCCCGAGAGGGTAAATGGCGTTATAAGTATCAATCTCGTTAATCAATGCTTTGTACTGATGCGATGTCTTCCATCTCTGCTCAAAGTCCTCTGCGGTTCTTGGTAGCCATCCGATAGCATCCCTTGTTTGAGGGCGCAGATCGAGCGGTCTCGTAACAGACGTGAGGAATTCAGGGGTAGTGGATCTCTCTGGGGGAATATATCCCATGTCGGTGAAATATTTCCTAGCATCTTTCGTAGGTCCAAAATAGATCTGCCGTCCTTCATACAATACCGTCACTTTATCGAAAAGCTAAGTTTTATGAGAATTTATAGATACGTAGCTTGCTTCGAATTGGGTATACTCACATCATATATCTCTTCGCCTGCTTGATATAATGTCACAATAGCAACGGAGCGGTTCTCTGTAGTACGCCGTCGTAGGGCTTTGACGAAGTCACGAGCATTGGCGCTGTCTAGCCCTCGTGTGCTATTATCCCAACATTGGAAGACACTATCCCCCAGGAGGATTTCCTAGGTACGGTTAGCACATGAATGCGGATTTGTTATAATCATCGTATATACCGCGATACTGGTTCTTTTGCGTTCTCCTCCACTAACTCCAGGAACATATGCATTCCCCATCTTAGTATCAAGGGCTTTAGACAAACCTAAAGCGCGAACATCGCTCTCGACGGTAGCTTGGGTCACATCCCAGTACTTGGGAGGTCTTCTTGCTCTGTAGGCAAATTCAAGAGTCTCTCGCATAGTTAAGGAAGGAAAGTGGATATCAAATTCAGCTTGATACGTCCCTTTTCCTCGAAACTCAGTAAACATTTGCTTCGATGACAAGCCTTAAATGTAGGTTAGTATATCGCGATCTCGACGCATGAAGCAGCATGTTTACCTTGGTAGTTGATAGCCGCCTCTTCATCTATGCAAACATCGTATGTCTGTCCTGCTAGAGACTTCAGCATAGTGGTGCATCCACTCCCTGGATTTCCGAGAACTAGTAGCATTTCTCCGCTCGGTACAACCCCGTCAAGTTCATGGAGGATGTCGATCCGATATTTTGGGTTTTTGGTGACCCAATTTGCAACAGATGCACTGAGAAAGTTTGCGACAGTGCGTTGGTAGTCCGTTCGTCGGCCGAATGCGTGAACACTCAGATTCCGAAACGCAACACTCATAATGTTGCTATATAGAAACTCAGAATAGGACAGAGGATATGGCATATCAATGTAACTAACCTTGACGGAGTATAAAGTGGTTGTTGCTCGATGATTTCTAATGTATCCTCCATTCTTTTCTGGTTGTTGATACCATCTTGGAAAGGAGTCGAATCTCTCTCCATAGTTTCTTGTAAAATGCTGATTTAGCTTGATAATGAATCGCTTAACTGCTGGTGAAGACTAACAGCTTCTTAAGGAAAACAACTAAAACGCTAAGTAGCTATATTTTCAATCCTTTGAGAGTATGTAATAACTACATACGTTCAAGAAAAGCATAGCCCCCTAGAAAAGGAGAGGCTTATTACTACTATGCAGCCACAGTTATTGATGCGTGTCTGTGGGCTGCATTGGTTACCACTGGGCTGTGTTTGTGAAACCAACCACCTTGTCTAAGCGAGCACCATCAACTCCAAAGGCATTACACGGCGATCTCACCAAACCATTGGCATATGTCTACGTCGATTTTGGTTGCACAGTCAGACCCGAGTAAGTCTTTGTTAGGTGGTTATTTGAAAGGAGAGCGCTGATTGGAGTTTCACTACAGGCACCGTTGTATGGATGGTAACTGGATGATACAATTGCAGCCATAATAAAAGTACCGAGCCTTCTCACAAGTTTAATCGCCATGTGAAAGGTAGAATCATACAATTATGTCGTATCGGCCAAGACACGAGACGCCAACATTCAAATAACCCCAAACTCAATAGGTTACACGGGAATATATGACTCGTTGTATGTAACCAACCTCAGCAGGTTAGGTAAGGATTATAAAATTCGTAGGAACAAGTAGACCACGAAGGTGTAGCTTTAGCACGGCACGGTTACCAACCCAAGTTCGGAACCCAATTGGGACCAATAAATCGACACTGATAAGACTCAAATAAAGTGAGTGTGTGGAGACTAAGATACTACGTGTTGGTTAGTGTTAACATGTTGGTATAAATTGTCATTCAATATGAGGCTCTTTGACGTTGTATTCTCAAACCTTGCCAAAATCCTGTTAAGGTAGGCTACGAAGAGTCAACCGATGTAACCCCCTTTCAAAAGCATCCAGTAAATTAGACACTCCCAACACGCTTATACTAACTTTTCTAATATGTTCAAATAGATGTCGTGTAACCCGGTTAAAATTTTGTAATTGATGTAACCATAGAACTAACACTTGTATCGTTTTAAGCCTCACTCTATAATGGCCCCTAGTTGGGGTGGAAAGGAAGTCGACACATAGAATTAGGTAGCTTAGTTATACAATAAAATACATGGATGTTTCTAATAGTGTTATATTTCCAATGTAAAGACAGTTAGATACCTAAACATACAGATACCCAGCACAGAAGGGTGTAAATTAAGAACTTCGCCTAGAGAGTAGGAAACTAATCGCGTTCGTTTATGCCTCTTGTTCACGAGGGGAGAAAGTTACAAGTACATCTTCCTTCGGAAGAACATAAGACCTCCAAGAACTAGATTTCTCTATGTTCTTGTCCAAAAGACTACAGTCAAAATTTTTAAGGACGTGAGCCACAATGAGTTTAGTTGCTACAGCAGCGTAGAATCTTCCAGGACTATGATAATTATTAGATAGTTCTATTAGATTAATTGAACATTCACTTACCAGACGATCCCTCCAATTCCCCATGCATGGTAGTTTTCAGACAGGTCCGAGAACCTTGACGGTCCTTCTGGCTGTGATACTGTTTCCATATTTCCCGGAACTTTGTCTGGGGGCGCGAATCGAAAGCCTTCGAATTTAGAGGCATGAGGAAAGTATACTTCATCATTTAACATCGCCTTTGTCGGTACGCAAACCCAGTCCCCTTTTTTGATTATTGTTCCATCCGAAAAGGTGAAATCCTTGAGGGCTGACCTTCGACCAGACACTGAACATATCTATGTTAGCATGTACATATACTATGTGTTGAATAATACGTACTAGATTCGATAGGGTTGAGACGTGAAGACTCTTTGATAAAACTATCCAGAAGTGGCAAGCCCTTGGTTGTTCTTAGGAAACTCTCGAATTCGGAGCTTTCAATCTCTTTGCGGAGTGGATCTATGTACTCCGGGTGCTCGCATAAGTCAAAAATAACGTAAGTAACGGTCTACGTAAAGTACTGTTAGAGAGAAAACAAGTACACTCGGACAATAATAGCACTCACCGCAGATAGGGCGTGGACGGAACCAAACCAGATCGCGATGATCTCGTAAGTAATACGACGCGGACCCCACCCAAGCTTGGCTGGGGCAGTGTCGATAATCCATTGGATCATATCGTTCTAGGACTTCTTAGACAAAAGTCAAGTATTGGGCATGGGTATCTTACCGGTGGCGGCGTAGAGATCTCTCCAGACTCCGCGAGCTTTTTCTCTTCTATCCGTCGCGCGACGAGATCGCTGATCATACTGAAAACAGTGTGTTGTATAGTAGTTCGTCTTCCAACATATGGGCCAATAATTCTATACAATTAGCATATTTCTAGGTTTTTGCCATTTTGCGTTCTAGATTCTCAATGTATACCTTTTCAGGAATCCAGGGATAACCCTTAAGACTTCGGCAGCATAGATGACTAGTTCGTTATATTCGAATATATTTTCAATGAACAAGTCGTTCTTTGCTATTTGTTGTTAGATATTTATTATAACTGCCCTGCCATTCTCTAGATATTCTCTGGGTAGAAGAAACATACCAAGTTCGTCACCGAAGAAACAAAACCCATTGAGATCACACAATATCCTCTTTGTCAGTGCATAAGCGGGGAGGGCTACGTTGCCTCGTTGGTCAGTGCAAGTCTAGCCTCATGATCTGTATGTATTTACCTCTGTGGGACATCTTCGCTTTCGAGAACGCTTCAAAGGATTCTTGAATAATCCTTTGCATATCAGGCATAATGTGGAAGAGCTGCCTAGGAAATAGAGTACCGACAGCCCTAATGTACCCAACACCTTCTACTCCTCTTTCGTCATGCCAGTTGTGGCCAAGCATGGTATAGGCAGGCTGGAACATCTAATAGAGTTTAAAAATGATTTTTAAGGGGGTAATGGATGGGCTTACTTGTTTTGTTGCACCAAACATAGAGAGCTCATCGCGAGGAGCCTTGCGTATCTCATCTATGTGCTCATTGGAACTGATAAAGGTGTGGCTATGATCCGGTCCAGGGACCTCAAAAGCTTTTCCACCAGCCTAGAAATGCAGACCATTAGATACTATCTCTTAGAATCGAAAGATATACCAAATGTGTCAAAATATTTACCTCTTTATACGCGGATGTGATCATATCTGCCCCCTGAAACAGATATCTCCAGGCGTTAACCCTTTTTCTCACATAGCAAATTAATTTGTCGTAGAGCTTTGAGGGGCCAAACTAATACAAATGTCAGAGATGCTTAGGAGACTTTCCACGTATCCTTACTGATGTATAACTGCTTTGGATAAGGCAAAGGATTGCCGAGGCAAGCACTGCATATAGCACAACATCTAGGACATGTGCGTGCATGGTCGCAATGTGTAGAAAATGAGATAGCTATGTCAAAAGGGGGGAAAGCAGGACGATGAAGGAATAGTATAAGACAACATGAAATTCTGAAGTGCTATATCATAAGGCAGATGGGGGGATATATTATTTAAGGCCCTAATAGACGGCTCGTGCTTCTATCTGTGCCTAGGTAGATAGATAGCTCTATATTATGTTAGTTACACAAGACTCCGCCATGCCAATTTCATAGATCCGCGGACAACACCTCAAAGTAACAATGGCACATATATCATAGTATTTAGCGACCTGAATGACTCAGTATGCATAATCACAAGTCTGAGTGTGATAGTATCCGGAGTTTACCACCAATCAATATAGTTCATAAGCTTAGAGAACCCCGAAAATAGGCCGTCTTAACACTCATAAGGGTGGTGACTGTGACAATAACTATATTTCAACCATATTTGTAGGGATTTATACGTAAAATTGAATAGGGAAGGGACATATGTAATATTATGGTTACATTCACGGTCCCCTTGCTGCCAAATGCTGATTACTTGACCTGTAGTTTCACCAGCCCCTCCACCTCTTGATACCAACACGCTTAGTAACTGAATCCTAATTGCTACATCATTAGTATTCGTGCCGCCAACAGTTAGTACATATACATTCTAAGAGATCTGGAAGGCTTATATTGAATGACTGCAATCTAACTAAGTACTTTGAGACTTAACTTTAGTTTATGAAGTACAAGCGGCGGAACGGACAATAGAAAACGATGGGTTGAGGCCAGAATAACCAAATGTAACGTACTTCCCTAACAATTTAAATACCAGACTGCTTCAAATTCTATGTATGACAAGGTCTTGATGCTTACATTGGTATGGGATATATACAGCTGAGACTGGAGTAAGGCTTTAGCAAGTACGAAATAGGAAGCCAAGACCAACGCATCTATTCATCTCTTAACGCACTGGGAGTAAACCTATAATTAAAAGACATACATAGCGGGTAAGCCGGCTCGGAGGCGATATTATATGAGTTGGGGTCCCAACAGTCAATAAGAATTGTGTGAGATATATCATCTTCTAATATTGTATGTAGCCAAGGACTGTTAGGAAGTTGAAAGTTATAACATAGGTAGCCTGCTTTTCAGGTTACACAGAATACTACACAAGGAAACGTAAGTCTGAAAATGAGAACGTCATTCAATTTGTATTGCCTCGTGTGCATACGAGGTACCTAAGGTATGTACTTGATAAATCCTCAGGTCGTACGATAGTTATTGGCGGGAGATAGGACTGAAATAAACAATACATCCTCGCCGCCACTCATCCAACAGGATTTTCATTTGCTCCCTTTCCACATATTCGGGTACAGTTTCTCTCATTGTTAGGTAATTTTACTAGTAGTCGATATGAGAGGCTCTTTTGGATCCCATGGACCATTTTCCTTCGCCTTTTCTCTACCTCTTATCAATATGTCAGGTATCTAACCATAGACATATGGAATGATTCGCCCAGTAAGCCCGTTTTTGTAACCACATTCTATTAACGGCACTTCCAAGTTAAGTTCCATAATATTGTTTTTTATTTCTTCCGAGATGTCTATCTCAGATGCAATCAAAGTCGTAAAGAGTATCTCAAATGACTTGGTTGTTCTCACTGGGAGTGAGGGGTATGATGCAATTACCAAATCGTATTTCATGGAACTAGAACGCGAACTGAAGCCTGCATGTTTCTTAAGTCTAAACTCGGCGTCGCAAATTGTGAGCATAGTAACAGCCATAAAACCATTTTCAGTCCCTTCAACGGTTGCAATCTGCGGCTTCGGCCAACAGGCAACCCCCGCAATTGCAAATGTTCGTCGTGGCCTCGTGATATATCTTGGCCGTCTCCGCGGGATCGAGATTGATATGTAAAGGAAACCGTCTCTATTGCGGCCGGGGAACAGATGGGACACGTATATAAGAAAGTAATAGCAGCGGGATTCGGCGTTGCGGGGATTCGGCACTCGAGCGGTGGGATCGGGGGAGATGCCGTTCAAGATAAGCCTCGATACATACCACACATACCTACTACATTCTAACTCTCCCAGGTAGGCTATCTTACTTCTCTTATACTCGAGGTTTCGTTTGCGATAGCGTTGTCAATTACGAAATTGTTCTTACCAATGGGGAGATCGTAAACGCCAACGCGCGAAACGAATAAGGATCTATGAATCGCACTTAAAGGTAGTTAGAATAACTTCGAGATTGTCACACGCTTCGACCTTAGTATATTCAAGCAGGGCCAGTTATGGGGTGGCAAGGTCTTTTACTTCAAGCTAAGTTTCTCTAAGCAGATACAAAGTCTCGTCGACTACATGCATAACCTAGAAGCTGATGTTCATGTCCATATCTGCGTTAGTCTCGGATATGCCGCCGCAGTTGGCAGTATCCTCTGCATGAACGATATATTTTACACTAAGCCCGAGAAACCAAAAGTACTTGAGCCATTTGCGGATATCCAACCTTAGATCGACCAGATGAGAACTTTACGGATTGATAACTTGAAGAATCTTACTGAAGCATTTTCCGGCGCTCCTTCTAAACGGTAAACCTATCCATGCTCCTTAGTACTTGAATACCTAAATGCTAAATTCAGATAGGGTAGTGAAGTTTTCCACAACTGTCAAGTCTGACACTGGCATTCTCGAGTATGCCGCAGAGGCATATCATGCGGCCTTCGAAAAGCTAAAAGAGGTAGAGAATCTCCTGTTCTCAATTACCTTCGAACCCCTGCCTGTATCCATGATCGAACAGTCTATAGCTCGCGGTGGTAACTCTCTCAGACTTAAACCATCAGACTGCCCCCTTATTGTGATATTGTTCTACAGTTCCTGGGATAGTCCTAAGAATGACGAAAAGGTATATGATGTGAACAAAAAGGCCCTCGAAGTCATGGACAAGGAGGCACAGAGTAGAAGTGTATCTGCCGCTTACAGACATTTGAACTATACGTTCACTCACCAAGATCCTAAGAGTGAGGCACATTTGCAAGCTGTTAGCGTAAGATATGATTCAGAGGGTTTCTTTCAAATCGCAGGCGTAGTACCCTTCAAGCTCTCGAGGTAGACCTAAGAAGATGGTCATCTTGCCCCATCGTAAAAGGGAAGACGAGAGTATTTACAACATGAAAAATAACTACAATTTGTTAAGTCTCTGAGCTTCTAGTAAGCGAAAGGATTCATAGGTACTTGGTAATACTTACTTACTTACTATGTACTTCAATGAATAAACTGCACCGCGTTGTCATCAATAATTTCAAGTAACCCCGCCAAGTCAATAATAGGATGAGTTGATGACAGATTTTCAAGTAGCATGTACCTGCGAACTTATAATCCAACTTCAACTCTACATAATAGCATCTTATAATTTTCATTATGCAATATGACCATGTTATCATTCAGAAACAATTTTACCTTATTTTTAACCCTCCATCTATGTGGTCTTGCCGCACCGACTGAAATCCCACCTCTTCAATTCGACGATCCCGAGGCTTTTCACGTTGCCATCGTCGGCGCGGGCATCGCTGGAGCAGCCTCTGCGTTCTATCTCCACGACCTATCTATCTCGAAGTTTGGAAAACCTATCAAAGTTACCATTTATGAATCAAGTTCCGAAGTGGGCGGACAAGTCAGAACTATATTTCCGCCGACCTCTCGATACGCCGCTCTCGAGAGTGGGGCATCGAATTTCTTCGAAGATGACTGGTGCCTCGTTAACGCAGCGCACTCTCTAGACTTGGAATTGAAAGCCATTTACTCAACTAGATACACCCAGATATGGAACGGATTTGAGTTATCAGATGATCACTTTTGCTTTAAACGAGCTCCATGGACTATACCCCCTTTTTGGGATCCAAGGCCGTTTGCCCGAAGAGAAGTTAGAAATGCCGTGACTAGACTCCTTTCCGTGTTACGGTATGAATGGGAACACAAATTTACGCCTTGGGATTTGCGACGCGAACTCTTAGCTTTGCAGAAGAAACTCGCTTCATTCGGGGAAAATGGCACGTTTGATAACATCTATCGAGAATTGGATAAGCTTGGCCTGGGAGATATAGCCTCGATATCAGCTAAGCAGCTCCTGAGTAACCTTGGAGTTCCGGAATCACTACAAGAAAACAGTCTAGAACCGTGTATTAGAAATTCATTTGGGATGAACCTGGAACAATCCTCTGGTCTGCACGCCGTTGCATCTCTCGCCTCTACTAGATCTCAACCTCTCACTATCAGATCCGGTAACAGTGATCTCGTCAGACGTATGATCGAAAAATCTGGGGCCCATCTATCTCTAAACTCACAGATAGTCCAAATAGATGTAGGGTTTCACCGTCGATTCGCTCTAACAGTAGCATCTCAGCCAACGGGACGCAACAAAATCGAATACGACGCAGTCATTTTTACAGGGGACTCCTTAAATCAAATTCGACCGCAATCAACACCAAGGTCGGACAGTTTTCAAAGCCATGTAACACATTTTTCAACTTACAAGCAGCCTAATCTAGAGGTAATCGGTCTAGAGTTTTGCTGGACTAGTTTATCCGTCCTGACAACTGAAAATTCGACGCACGTCAACAAAAAGGCAGACATTACACGCATAACACCCTTGCTAGAATTTTATATCGATCATACCGACTGCAGTCCTGATGACGAGTGCGACCAGGCTGTCGACGTTTATCAAGTTGATTCACATCAGCCTCTATCGCGAGAAACTATCCGTAAAATGGCAAGGGATGCGCCTGCTAACTGGATTCACTCGCAATCTTGGAACCGTAGGCGATTTGTCCGTAGTGAAAATGATTCTGCGCCTGGCAACGTGGAACTTGAACCAAATCTTTTTAACGTCGATAACAACTTCCTGGATACGATGGAAACAAGCTGTAGGATGGGGAGAAATATAGCTTTGAAGCTACATGAACAGAAACTCTGGCCTGAGAGCCTTGAGCATGAATCGGATGGTACTCTATCATTTGAAAGGATGAAGGGAATTGTTTAAGAAGAAGCATAGAATCTAGATGTATTCATCAAGAAACATCCCCTTATTTTAGATTCGCGACGCGACATAAGAGTATTTGGGGGATGTTTGAGCGTATACAAGAATAATTGTAGAAGCCTTTAAACCCCTTATCTAACTCTACAATAAAATATATCATTAGGAACTGTCCTTAAGGAGGACCCCTATTTCCTGAAACTTATCTCCTTTTATAAATGCATCGTACGAAGTTCTATCAATCATAAAATCTCTTTCTTCTCAAAGCGCTGGTATCTCTCCTCTCGCCACTTAGGACCCCATTCCTTACTATTATAATGCACGGACTTGCCGCTAACACAATACAACCCATGAAGAGGTATGTAAAACCATAACCCCAAGCATCGATAATGTACTGCACCACAGCAGTCCCGACGGCGCTGAGCGCGGCGCGCGTCAAGTTGAATGTAGAAGAGACTCGTCCAGGGTTCATGGGATAGAGATCAACTAGCAATGTTGTCAAGATACTCACAGGACCGCTTAAACCAGCACCACCAAAGAACAGGACTACCAGGGGTGCAGCGAGGCTGGTCCCTGAGTCGACGACCCATCCCCACGCGATGATCATAGCGACGGCCAAAATTGTCCACGGCCACATCAGATCTAGTCGAGCCCTCTCAATAGGAAATTTACGCATATCATCGCCCCGTTTGCGATCCGGCGACACTCCGATGCTCTTGGCGACTCGCGTATAGTTCCAGTTTAATAGTTTACCGACGACGGTAGCCCCGAGAACTGACCCCACTGCATAGGGGATGTAGCACAACCCAACCTGCAGATCGTTAAAGTTATACTGGCGGCGGATGACGTCTTGCAGAGGAACCAGCATTGCGTAGTTAGCCATGACGAACAAGGACATGAAGAGCATGAGGGAGCCGACGTCTTTCTCAAAGACTATAAGCACCGCGGCAAGCACATTGGGTATGGGTATCTTTCTTGGAATCTTCTTCGGCTGTGGTAAAGTTGAATTGCCGGGCTGCGATTCGACGTCGCGACGCTTCTTACGCCATTGGTAGGCAGATGCCAAAGACATATTCAGTCGTGGCGGGGGAATAGATCCATTCCCGACTATATTACGAGCAGTCTACGACCACGTTAGCTAAGCTCACACATACCAACGCTCCGGGGTAAACTCGCCTCAGGAACGAACGGGATGTAGATAAGCAGAAATACACCGGCGGCAATAACAAGAAACCAAAACGTCGAACGCCAGCCAAGGAACTGTGTTAATATTCCGCCTAGAACAGGAGCCAGAGCGGGTGCGAACATGACACTCGCTTGCACGGCTGTGATGTAGCCGCCCCTATCGGCGCTTGTAGTGAAGTCGGCCATAACAGCACTGCCAATAGCAACGGTAGCACTACTCCCCGTGCTCTGCAAAGCCCGCAGGACCATGAGCGCTGCATAGTTGTGTTGTAATGCCAGACCGATGTTGGCGCCGAGATAAATAGCAAACGTGAGCATGTAAACGGGACGGCGGCCGACCTGGTCGCTGAGATCACCGAGGAAGAGCGGCGCGATAGCTTGCATAACCTGATATAGGGTTACTGTGAGATTTATATCGGCAATGGAGCGACCGTATGATTCCGCGATGGGCGTAATAGCTGGTAAGTAGATAAAAGAAGAGAAGGGCGAAAACAGCGTGGCGAAAACGGTCATGAGGACGAGGATGACCTTCATCCGGGGAGAAAAGACGGAGTAAACCTCCGGTTCATCATTACCGGGAGTCTCGCTAACAGAACGGTTTTCTTTATTATTCATGTTGCTATCGTTTCGTACGGTGCTTGACTCGGCGTCGAGTGAGTTGCCATCGGGGGAGTCCAAGCCGCTCGTTGTCTTTTCATCGGGCGCTTCGGTCATGACGTCACTTATCCTTCCTAAATATAAAATTTTCTCTATAAGACGGGTTTTTCTAAACTCATAGGTTCATATTTACGGAAATAACTAGATAGCTCTTAATATTTATATAAGATAGATGTATAGAAGCAATAATGTCCGTGTTCGGAACCGACGTCATTCGGAGCCGGCGTCGGCTATGGAAGGACGAATAGTAATCGCAAGTTGTACATAATATCTATATAGGTATCTTGTGATTTGCTACTTTGTAGATGCTCACTAAAACTGATGATATGTAGTAGCAGTTATACTTACGCCCTATATCTGTAATCATTTTAGGGAATTCGGCCTCTTTTATATAGGAGTTCTTCATAGAGACGGGGGGAAATAGTTTTCTCTCGTTAGCGCATTGCCCGAGTTTACGAGGGATATTGTCTTAGGGTCTGGTTTACGAAGTAGGAAGTTCGTCTGTGCGCGAGTTTTAGGCATTTTTATTGGGTGCATCCCTAAAATAAGTGGAATTTTCCAAAGTCTCCACTTTCATCTTTTTCTTAAAATACGTATCTTTTTGCTTCCGAATCCCTAGGTGCCGAGTCCTCTTTTTGGTGAGGGTTTCGAGGGTGTTATAGGTAAGGGCTTCGGGCCCTTTTCCTGGGTGCTGAGGGTGCCGAGCCGTGGGTGAGGATATCGAGGGTAAAGGTATCAAGGTCAGGGTGCCGAGCCCTTCTTTGGGTGCCGAGTCCTCCTTTTAGGTGGGTGAGGGTATCGAGGGTGAGGGTATCGAGGTCAGGGTGCCGAGCCCTCCTTTTGGGTGGGTGAGGCGAGGGTATTGAGGGTGAGGGTATTGAGGGTGAGGGTATTGAGGGTGAGGGTATTGAGGGTGAGGGTATTGAGGGTGAGGGTATCGAGGTCAGGGTGCCGAGCCCTTCTCTTGGGTGCCGAGTCTTTTTTCAAAATATTCAATATATTTAACTACCTAATATAACCTCTGTAAACTCGGGCTATTGTGGCAGCCCTCTGGGGTGCCCTCCAGTCGATTAGGTTATGTGTTGACTTTCCTAATTTAGAAATATTATACATTTCTTGTCTTCTAATTGGATGCGTTTACATTAGTGTTAGTTGACATTGAAAATTTCGGGTCAGGAATAGGTCCTTAGTGCTAAAGGGGTAGTCAAACGTTAGATACGGATAATTTGATTCTTTTGAAGCAATAGAAGGTCCAGTTAATATCGGAAACATATTCGTAAGTATTCAATAGACTATTTAGACGTATCTAACCCATTCTATCTGAGAAGCTTCGGTATTTGGTTTATTTAGGACTCTTTCTATTCCCTATATCCTGGCTGTTCCATTATTCCTTCCATTATAAAACCTTCGCCTAACGACGATTCTAGATTATCGAAGAGCGACATGTCGAATGATTCCAAGTTAAAATCGAAATTTACAGAACTGGTCTGTTCAGCTGAAGCCGATTGACAGCACTGCGATAAACTCTTTTGCGTATGACCAAATCTATCATATATCATCCCCGAATCTTCATATTCTGCCCTTGGTATCGTCTTACATTGTTGTATCTGACGAAATTCGCGAAACGCATCTACTAAGAGGCCCCTAACGCAATACGTTGCTGTTCTCTTTAAGCTTTCTTCGATGGTGTTAAAGTCTCTATCAAGCTCGGGTCGTAGCCTTTCCTGCAAGCGCAAAGGTATTTCCCGTATGATATAATCCTCGCATTCCGCTAATTGATCTAGGTGACTGGGTATTATCTTGGTGGCGTGATCATAATCGTAGACTGCCGCCTCTGGTTAGTTTGATGATTAAATTCTGCATGTTGATACTAACAGGGAGTAGGAATGTCTTCTTTTTGAACATCTGGGAATAATATCAAAAAGACCGCTCGCCATTTATCTGTCTCGCTCATGTCACTTGTACCTTTTCGTAGCTTGAGCTGCTTCTCCTGGCTGCTATCAAACCCTTCTATCGGTTTTTTTTCTCTCAAATCACAGGGCTCTATCATTCTCTGGTGGCCTAGATAATCCACTTCGCTCTCAAAAGGCTCCCAGCAACGCCCACACCGATGAGATGGTTGCCGATGTCGCCGATAGAGATGCTCCCTGTAATCTATTAGTTACCTGCAATAAGTCCACGAGCAAAAGGGGGAAGTGGAAAAGAACCGTACTTGACTCTATGTACGTCGAGCCATCCAGGTCCGGGGCATGTTCTCCATTCTTTGTATTTGCTTGGATTATATTTGAAATACGGACAAGCGAATTTCTGTTTTTGGTGCTTCTTGCCACTGACGCCCTTTTTTATACTTCGCTGATCTTGATCACTTCCATTATCATCCTCCTCACTGTCACCGCTTCCCCTATTGCCATGTTTCCTCTTCTTGGACGCATTAGTCTGGTTAGGGCCTTGCCCCTGGGTTAGCTGGACTGGTGGAGGGCTTTTAGATTCTGGAATATTTCCGCTAGCAACTTCCCGGGCTGTGTTGAATCCAGATTGTAGCCAATGTGCTATCTCAAGAACAACCTCATCCAGAAGTTGCTTCTTTCTTACATTAAAGTACTCTTTGGTAGAGGCCAATGTTTCAATGTGGTCGCCCGTGAGTTCTCTTAGCTTATCCCTATTGGGATATTCTGGTATAACGACATATTCATATATCTATTCAAATAAGAATAAGTATGATGCTACCTCATATATTAATAATAACTCACATCACTGTGTTGACAAAGATGCGGGAAAGCTTCCAATTGTTGAAGTGTTTCGTAATAATCGTTATACAATTTCATGCCCACCAATTCTTCAGTCTTGCTCTTTCTCCTGTTAGTTTAAGTTCGTTAAAAGTGAGAGGAAAATATTATAACTGACTTTCTCGGGAGGGTATGGAGGAATAATCCATCTCTTTACCAAGTTATCGGAATATCTTGGTACTGTGCGTCTCTGCCTAGCAGAATGTTGTTGCTCTGTCCATGTAAATGGATTCTGCTTTCTTCGTGTAGAGCTGGATTTAAGTCGATTTAGGGGCATGGGTATGGTATTACCGTTATTAAATGCTTTTAACATTATTTCCTATAACGATGATAGAACTTTAATACAACCTAACTAACCTAAAAGATTATCGACCCAGAGGTGGTAAATTATTATCGTGGTGATTTTATCTCAGGTCGATTTCCCTATACGGTAGTAGTCATCCGTAAGAGGAAAAGTGTAAAGAGAAATTACCCTAGAAGGGGTAAGTGTGAGGGATTTTATATCTTTGTCTTTCTTTTATTTTTATTTCTCCCTTTACATGCAAGTGAAGTGTCCGGCATTATCCTTATATAAAGGCAGCAAAGAAATACTTTGTAATACCTAGTTATGTATTCCTTATTTCTTTACTGGGAGCACTTGAAGGTGTTGTACCTTGTCTGTACCTGGGAACATGTACATATCTGCATATGCTGCGACTTGTAAGAGTACCTCCTAATGCAATAAACGTATAAGGCATTTCCCCTCCCCGCATAGGATGTTTTGCGCAACTGCGCAGAAGTCCTAGAAGGACGCGTACTAACCCGAAAAGTCCTATCGATATTCTATCGATAAGATAGGTTGGCATCGAACCTTAATTTTCACTTGTTAGCCCTATAGTCTGATGGCTTTTAGTTTAGCTGGAAAAGAGTCTTAGGTATTACATCTTTAATGGGACAAATATGTTGACATCGCAATGGGTGTGCCGTCACTGTATCAAGGCATTGGCACAGCCTCGGAATCGACAGTTCATACGATTAGCTAGTACAGGTAAGTAATATATTAGGTATATATACATACTGTTCTCTATAATTTGAATGATGAACTCTTATTCTAGAACTAACATTGTTCAAGAGTCACAGACGAATCTCCCCTCCGTTCTTCTCAAACGCGCACGGAATATAACCGCCGAACATGACAAGCTCGCAACCGAACTTGCCAATGACTTCGACTCCAAGATAGCTAAGCGTGTCGGCGAACTGTCGCGCGTCGCCGAGGCTCTGAAAGAGTGGGAAACCGCACAATCTTCTATAGTAGAGCTTAATGCTCTCCTACATTCACAGGATACCGAGTTGCGTCAGTTAGCTAAAGATGAATTATCCACGACAAATGCCAAGTTTAATTCTTTGGCCACTGCTCTATCCGCCTCTCTCACCCCACGTGACCCCTTCGCTGATATGCCTTGCCTACTTGAAGTACGCCCGGGGCCCGGTGGTATGGAAGGTCGATACTTCGCAGACGCAGTATTCCGCATGTACCGGCAGTACTGTATGCGTAAGGGTATGCGCACAAACATTCTAAAGTACGAGACGGTGGATGGGGGTGAGTCCTTGACTGGTGGTTCAAGCGAATCTCCGCTTCAAGAGGCGGTGCTCGAGATTTTGGATGTAGGCGCGTTCGACCAATTCCGCGGTGAGGCGGGGATGCATCGCGTACAACGTGTTCCATCTACGGAGACAAGTGGGCGCACACACACGAGCGCTGTCGCGGTATGGGTCTTACCATCGTTCCCTGAGGACGAGAGTGAGATGCCTAACGAGCAGAGTTTTAACGATCCCAATAGTATCTTTTACGTAGACCCGCGAGAGGTCAAGGAAGAGAAGATGCGCGCAAGCGGGGCGGGTGGCCAGCATGTCAACAAGACGGAGAGTGCGATCAGGTTAACTCACGAGCCGACAGGCATTACGGTGTCGATGCAGGATTCGCGGTCACAGCACCGTAACCGACAGTCGGCGTGGACACTGCTGCGATCACGCATCGGTCAGCGCCGGCGCGAGGAGCGCGAGGAAGAGGCGTGGGCTCTACGAAACAGCGTGCTAAGCAAAGACAAGATCACTCGCGGCAATAAGATCCGCACCTACAACTACAGCCAGGACCGATGCACTGACCATCGGAGCGGTTTGGACGTACACAACCTACCCGACGTGCTAGAGGGTGGAGAAACACTAGACAAGATTATAGATAGCGCGAAAGAATGGCTGGTAAAGCGAGACATCGAGGCGCTAATCGCCGAGGAAGAGGCTGCTGCGGCGCCCACGACTAAGGGAGCAAAGAAGATGAAGAAATAACAGCTTTGTGTTACTTGACTCACAACATAGACGATGTATGTACGTCTCGCGTGTAAGAGGCCTATAGCAAATCAGCTACCATATTCGATTGCTACGATACCCAAAACCTACCGGCCGTATCCTTGGATAAACTGTGATCTTTTGCTTTTCATACACAACCCCAGTCGACTAATTCCCAGTGAGCCGGTTCAAGCCGGCACCTCCCTAATGGGACTAATGGGACGTTCTTTCGTCACTTCAACATCTTCTGTGACATTTGTGACCGGGGACGTACGGATCGATCTCGTATCTGCTTTTTAACCTACACGGTACTTTCTAATGACTATGATGCTACCCACCTCGGCCGTACTCTTCGTTGAAATTTCTATCTCACTTAACCTAGGTATTAACCGCTTCAGGATAGCTACACGCACCTAGGTAGGTACCTAGTTATGTGCTAAAGCTCATTATCTCAGCTGAGGAAATCAAGCAAGCAGCGCCATTGGTCGTAATAATCGCGTGGATTGCAAGGGCCCGTATGTAGTGGCATGTTCTTAGCTATTCTGTACCTACATACAAACATGCGGTAGAAAAAGCTTATCAGGAAGCTTGGTAACGGTTCCTGGCGAGCTTCCTAATGAGGCAATTGATCGGGTTTCGCCATAAAACGGTGGTTCCCCCGTCTTATATGTATATATTGGGGTGTTATTCCCGTACCCACTGATAAGCAAGCTGTAAGTCGACGTAGAGGGCTGAGAATTACATACATGTAATGTTTAGGTAGGTTATGAGGTAGTTACCTAACGTTAGGTATGAATGAATATCAAGTTTGGGGTAGGATTTGGAGAAGCTGTCTCACTGAAGAATTACGTCTTCTATTTTACTTGGGTTAGACATAGTTATACGTTTCTTCTCTAGGTAGTTAACTGATAATTTACTTCAGTTCTGCTAAGGGTTTTTCTTATTGTCCCCGCTAGAAATGAACGAATAATACCACTGTTTAGACATTTCCTATCTCAGCGTTTGATCTTCAGCTCCCCCAGCTCTCGCGCGGCACAGTCAGGAACCGCTCATTTCCCCTCACATAATAAGGTCCTACACTACTTTCTTGAACCGCTTTGGTATATACTCTTTGCCTCTATGGGGTATAGGTAGACATGGGTGTGGTACAGCAGTTACATACAGACGGCGCAAGCCCACGTAGCACTGATGGGACATTGGGTCATGGCAGGGCTCTGTTGCGTGAACTCCCTATCTTGGTAACTATGTAAGTCTAATTATGTGGTGACCAGACCAGACCAGACCAGACCGGGTCATGTAGGCAGAATACGAATAATAGGCCGTTGCCGTTGCCGTAATCCCGGCAAGTTGTTGATTCACCCTGCCACCGCCAGCCACCATCTGGGAATTTCTCGATCTCATTTATCTTGGTTTCCTCCCCCCTCACATTCCTAACCTTCTTCCAAGCTGCATCGCCCAGAGTCTCGGCGTAGCCACAAGTTTCTCATTTTTGGGAACGCTTGCTCAAAGTAGTTCAGCCTTGGCCTTTTATTGAGTCGGGGTCGTTAGAATACATATACTTCTCTGTATAAGTACGAGATAGTCATGCATTGGCCTAAGCTTGTGTCTGGGCTTCTGCTGTCTGCCGTCGCCGTGACGGACGCGCGCCGGAGCTTACAGCACGTGGGCAAGAAGGATGCGAGACCCAAGTCCACCATCTCGGAGTATGATAACTTCGCTACGCGTTTCTTAGCTACGCGACAGTTGCCGCCGCCCAGGTTCGCCAATGCGAATACCACAAGTATGACTCCCTCCTCCATGTTCCACATAGCTATGAGATGTTGTGAAACCATACGATGTGTTTAAGTGTACCTGGCTAATTACCCCAACGATAGAGTTCTCCGTCAACGGTACCGGTATCCCTGATGTCGACTTCGACGTCGGCGAGTCATACGCTGGGTATCTACCCATCACCGACAACCCTGACGACACCGACGAGCTCTTCTTCTGGTTCTTCCCCTCGTCCGACCCGACAAACACGACTCAGAAGGAGATCCTACTATGGCTTAACGGTGGTGTAAGTCACTATCACTTATAACTCTCGGTTGTAGAGCAATACATAGTTCTATGTAGCTAACTATCGTCCGTTGTTATAGCCTGGCTGCTCCTCTTTCGAGGGTCTCCTCCAGGAAAACGGCCCGTTCATCTGGCAATCCGGCACGCTGAAGCCGATCCCTAACCCGTGGGCCTGGAACCGGCTAACAAACGTGGTATGGGTGGAACAGCCCATCGGCACGGGTTTCTCGCGCGGCAAGGTGACGGCCCGCGGAGAGGAGGATGTAGCCGCCCAGTTCCTCGGCTTCTGGAAGAACTTCATTGATACCTTCTCCCACAAGGTTACAAGGTGTACATTGCGGGTGAATCCTACGCCGGCGCGTACTGTCCATACATCGCATCTGCCATGTTAGACAAGAACGACACCGCCTACTACGACGTATCAGGTCTAATCGTATACGACCCCGTCCTCGGCGACGACGTCGTCCAGGAATCCGCTACCACAGTCCCCTTCGTCGACTATCACCACAACCTATTCACCTTCAACAATTCCTTCAGCGCTTACATCCACGGACTACACGACTCTTGCGGTTTCGCCGACTACAACGCCAAGTACCTAACATACCCTCCATCAGGCCCGCAGCCCAAGGGCTACACCCAGAGCGTCAGCCGCGAATGCCAGAACCTGTGGGAAGTCATTCTAGAAGAAGCACTCAGCATCAACCCCTGCTTCGACGTATACCAAGTTGCCATCACATGTCCTATACTATACGACGTCCTCGGCTTCCCCGGCACGATCGGATACCTCCCCGAAGGCGGTGAAATCTACTTCGACCGAGACGACGTGAAGAAGGCGATCCACGCAGACCTCGACACGAAATGGGCCGAATGCGCCGACGGCGACGTCTTCGTAGGCGGTGATCGATCAGACCCGTCTTCGTGGAAAGTCCTCCCGCACGTCATTGACGCTACAAAGAACGTCATCATCGGACACGGGTCTCTCGACATGATTTTACTACCAAACGGCACTCTACTCACGATCCAAAACACAACGTGGGGCGGACAGCTTGGCTTCCAAACCCCTCCTATCGAGCCGTTCTTCGTGCCATTCCACACCCTCAGCACAGCTGACCAGATCGAGGGGGAAACCGACCCGACAAAGCTAGGCAGCATTGCAGCAGCAGGCGTACTAGGAACAGCACACACGGAACGAGGACTCACCTACGTCAGTGTCGATTTATCCGGCCACATGATCCCGCAGTACGCGCCTAGTGCCGCATTCCGCCATCTCGAGTTCCTGCTCGGTCGCGTCGACAGCCTGAGTTCCGTCCAGCCGTTACCATCGAGCCCAACTACCCGCAGCCCCTGCAACGCGCTGGGAAATGGTACGGGACCTGGGACGTTAGCGCTGCGGCAGAGCAGGGGACAGGTAACGTGTCTGCGAGTGCTGAAGCGAAGGGCTCTGATGCCGGAGATCGGGGTGGGCTTCAGTGTAGTGCTAATGGCTGCTGGTGCCATGACTATGGTTGCGATGACAAATTTGTGATCTGCCAATTATAAAACTGTTTAGTTAGAGTATGATGAGATGTAAAATCTAATACAATTTCTTGGATACCCGATTGAGATAAATGAAGATTTGCCAAGATTATAAAATGATTTTTTTTATTCATTCATAAAATTTGATCTCACCAATATCACACAAGATTCCTTAAAATGAGAATTTCATGAATAGTAAAATACTCATAAGTGATTTTTAATACATGAGGGGAGTAGAACAATAAACAACACCATGTCCTACCCAACGAGCGGATAGTAGTATCGTAAGCACTTCAAACCTCCAAGCCAGCCTACCGCCAACCCCGCCCCCTCCTTTCTCCCCTCCCCATAATATTTGGATATTCCAGTTCGTGCTGTGGTCATTCATAAAAGACGTTACGAGTTTCCCATCGCTTTTACTGCCTCCAGCTAATTCCCCAAACGCCTTGCTAATTTGAAACCAGAGATGGATATACAAGTTGTGTTATAACACGGGTATAGTCCTGAACCAAGGAAAAAGAATCCGGATCCATCCATGTTCACTGCTCAAAGACGTTTCCTTCTCGTCGCCTGAGCTCCCTGAGTACAGCGACGACGCCATTGCTCCGCAGTCGCTCCAAGACGATGCGCATCCCGTCGCGCGATTTGAGTATCTGGTCGTCTGTCTTGTTCGAAGCAATGGATTCAATGCTGCTTTGGATCCGCTTGGCACCCCATCCCGAAATCCACTCGCCAAATCGTCGTGTGCCAGACTCATCATTTGAATCTGTAGATTCTGTCGCAGCTTTTTCGTGCTTCTTTCCGCCCAATGTAGATCTGTAGGAAAACGTAGTTGTAACAAAGGTGTTGGGAGCTAGGTGTCGGTGGGCTGTAGGAGTACGAGGGCTTCCGACGGTCCCAGAACCTGACAATGAGGATGACGTAGCTTGGTCGGGAGAGGTGGTTGAATAGTGTTGCTCCTCGACTACGCTCAGAACACCCGTATAATTCAGATTCCGACTCTCCGTCTTCATCCAACCCTCTTTGATATCCACGACACTAGTCTCGAGGACATAGCTCGACTTGTCGCCACCTCCACCAGTAACGCTGCTAGGAAGGAGCTTTACTACGGCGGAGGGCAAGCGGGTCTTCTTCATGTGGACGCGAGTCGTGTGCAGGCGGCCCGTTTCTGGGTCGACATGCGACGAGATGGTGTCTGTGGAAAGGACATGACTGGAGAAGGGATTGAGACGTGGCGAGTAGTACCGGAGGAAGAAGGCTAAAGTCACGGTCGGGAAAGGGTGTGAATAGGTATGATTGGTCGTGTGCGTGAGAACCATCTTATCTTATATGCCTCGGCTGTTTAAAACCAGGTGTGAAGGCGAAGAAAAGTCTCAAATAGTAGGGATTTTGGGTCTCGTCAAGGTGAAATATTAGACGTCCCTAGGATTTAAATGTCTATATCGACATGAGTGTGGCTCGTGAGAGGTTCCGATGCGGTTGCCTCGAAACCGAACGAATTTTTCTTCCCTTTTTTTTTCTTTCCCTTTTCCCCAAACTTTCGTAGGTGATAGTGCCCTTAAATCGAGGCTAGAGTAATAAAGTGTTAGACAATGATCAGCAACAAATGAATTGTAAGGGATTGCTGACCTAAATAGCAAAAAGAAAAAAGGGGGGAAAGGGGAAGAATATAGAGGAGGGGAAGAGGTGGTGATGCCAGGTGATGTGATGTGTGTGCGATTGCTAATGGAGGATGGAGACTAAATGGATGGTTATCGAACGAGGGCCCATGTCCATGCCCATACCCATGCTGCCATGGAATGAACCAACGGATAGAACATTCGACGCCGACCAATCCGCCCGAGCTCCGACACTGCAAAAAGTCAGTTTTTAATCTACACTAAATTGGATCCGACCTGCCGAGTAAAAACATTAATCAGATATTTGATTGGTTAGATCTCGCTAGAATGCGGGGAAAGCTTAGTTTTCCATGGGTGGCGATGCCCAATCTACCTCCTATCAACCAATCAGCATTTTGAATATTAAGTCCCTTGATTATACTTTTACCTTTTACATGCATCTCTCGATTGGTTCATTTCTGGACTTGTTCTCTTTCAACTACCTCTTCTTGACAATGTTGATGACAATCTGACTTGAGACAATGGTCTAGTTTTACATCGAGATGGTCGCTAATATAGATCTTCTAAACTCTTTGTTTTAGCATCAAGTCTAACCTAGGCCGTTTATACTTGTCATGAATAGTCAGTCTTGTGACAGCTGGTCTCCTATTAGTCCTTAACCTAAGCACATAGTTGTGTTTGACATCGTTGCCCCGAACCTTAATGCATAGTATACACGTACTACCAACAATAAACACCCGTAGGTCTGCACGTTCGACACGAGATCAGCAGTTCCGCAGTTAATATCGTCAGGCAATATTCAGTGTCAACTGAGACGTAACCATTCAGAACCCAATCACAGTCCCTCTTTCATGACGATCTCATATTCTTTACTATGCGTATTCGTAGTAATATACGATCCTATTCCGATAGAACCAGCCAATAAAAACAATTACATTACCCGGAGAGCATTTGTGAGACCCTGAAAACTCTCAACATCAACTCGTTATTGAGCAATTACATAATGCATTGTATATTCGAAGTTGTATAAAGTACTTACTCGAATGCTATATTTGTAATCCATTGATATATAAGCTATGATTGGACAAATAACACTGTGGCGCTAGCTACCCTGTAAGACTCTTTAGCCCCGGTACCAGCCGTTTACATCATCCCGATTGACGGATTGATCATCTCGACTTTTCAACCGCAAAAGTTACAAGAAGTTATTTTCTGATATTAGATACCCACCCAGCTCGAGACTAGGATACTTATCGCGACTGGCATATCACGATGTTCTCCCGCCCATTATTCTCAGCGGTATGTCTTCTTCTACGCCCCCCGCACTAGCAATGATAGACATTAACTAAAACTTTCTTTGTGGCGACAGACCCTGCGACAAGCCGCTCGACCCATCGCCCGGCCGGTGATTTGCAGTCGACCAACACCCTTCCTCACAACCTTCCAGCAGCGACTGCTCTCCGACCACACGCGGCAAGCGATCCAGAAGGCCGTTTCCTCAGCTCCCGTTGTGTTGTTTATGAAGGGTACTCCTGAAACGCCGCAGTGTGGTTTCTCGCGCGCTTAGCATCCAGATCCTCGGTTTACAAGGCGTCGATCCCAACCCAACAAGTTCGCCGCATTCAACGTATTAGAGGACCAAGAGCTCCGATCAGGTACGGGTTCTCTTCTCCCCCTATCTCCGGTTTAACAGCGCATTGTGGGATGAGATACAGAAATAAAGATATGCCTAGCTAATACATCACTCTATCTAAAAGGTATCAAAGAATTCTCGGATTGGCCCACAATCCCGCAGCTCTACATCGACAAGGAATTTGTCGGTGGATGCGACATCCTCGTATCGATGCACCAGGATGGTTCGCTAGCCAAGATGCTCGAGGAGAAGGGCGTCCTAGCCCCCCTCGACGGCACGTCCGAGTCTAAGGAATAGAGCAAGTAAAAGAGCGCAATATGCGAGGTGCAATGATTCTACTCTAAAATAGAGATTAGACAACGTTTGTACGATTTGATCAGTTATGCATATATAGACGTCGGTATATATTTAATGCGGGAGCATTTGGTCAAGCTAGGACTATCGAATCGGATAACTTGTAACCAATTCACGACGTATATCCACGACATTTCGAGATAATATAATAAATACAGTCACTTCAGCGAGTAACAGCACAAAGCACGGTTTTAGTACATAGCACTTTGTAACATAAATATAAGCACCCTAATAGTCATCCTAAGACCAGCATGAAAAATACTCTTTAAGACAATATCTCATTCTCTTCATAAGCTAAACATAAAGCTTGATGGTATAATTCAACTATACACGCTCTCATAAAGGATATGCCCCTCCATCTCCCCGCGGATCGCTGCCCGCGGACCACACTCCCACATTCTCAATAGGGTCAATGCTCCAACGAATGATCTGACCGCGGCCAAATTGTGCCCTCTCCACATCCGTCACAACCTCGACTTGATGTCCTAGCTTCCGCAGACCCTCCACCGTCTCAGAAGGCATACCCTCTTCAATGAATACAGTGAGGTCCGCCTTACCACCTTGACTCATACCAGAGCCGATGCACACGCGCGGCGCATCGAGCGCTTGTTGTGGACTAAGATGACCGACGATTTGTCCTAGGAGCACTTGCACGTGTCCTTGGGGCTGCATGAATCCGCCCATAACACCAAATACGCTGTGTAGGCTACCGTCGTGCAAGTTAGTCACCGCAGCTGGGATGATGGTATGGTATGGACGTTTGCGTGGCTCCAGAACGTTCGGGTGCGCTGCGTCAAGCGAGAAGTTGGCCGCTCGGTTCTGTAATGTAAACCCGCATCCCTTGGGCACGATGCACGTCCCGAATCCACCGTAGTTACTGTTGATGAAGGAGATGGCGTTTCCTTCAGCATCGGATACTGCGAAGTATACCGTGTCACTGCTTTGCAACGCCGGTGACCCGTGGTCCACTACCTGGGATGCTTTATCCGGGTTAAATAACGCGGCGCGTTCCGCGAGGTACGGCTGTGAGATCAGTCCGGGTGTGGGTACCTTGGTGACGTTAGGGTCAGTAACAAACCAGCTTGCGTCGGCGAATGCGATTCGTAGTGCCTCGATGATAGTATGCAGATATGGCGCCGTGTTGAAGTCTGCGGGTTCCCATGTCGGGATCTTACCCGCGGCTTCAAGCTCCTGAATAATACCCAGCGCCATCAGGGCCACGATGCCCTGTCCGTTAGGCGGGTGTTCCCATAGCTCCAGACCAACATCCTGTCCCTCGCCTCCGCCGATAACCTTGTCTTTAAGAAACTCGCGGACGTTTTGTCCCCGAAACTTCAGCGAGATGGGCTCGACAGGTTCACTGCCCGTTTCGAGATGGTGAGCTAGGTCTTCAAGTTCAAGGTATCCATCAAGATCTTGTACTACTTTAACAAGTTCCGACGCTACACGGCCGGTGTAGAATCCCTTCTTGCCTTCCGTAGCTAAGGCCCGGAATGTCTGAGCTAAGTTCGGGTTCTTCATGATTTCCCCTGCCCGAGGAGCACGTACACCATTCTGCGCCCCGGGATCCTTTTTAAGCATTTCGCCACCATTTAGAGATGCTCCCCTTATTTGCGCCTCCGATTTATGCCACTGGTCCGAAGTTTTGAGTTTTAGTCTGACATTTCTCAAGAATAGGCTTAGAAGGTATGTAATTACTTACAAAGTACGCGACTCCTTCCGAGACGGGAAAGCCTTTTTCTCCGAGTTCGATGGCTGGTGCTAGGACCTGCTCTAAGGATAGCTTCCCGCTACCAAAGCGCTGGATTGTGTCGTACCACCCAGCCGCGGCGCCGGGTACGGAGACGGCATGCACGCTGCTCATAGGGATCTTACCATATTCGCCATCTTTGATTCCCAGCGCCTTGCGAATCGTCTCGAGCGTGCACTTGTTGCCCGAGCGGCCAGAGCCGTTCAATGCAGAGACTTTCTTTATCTTAGCATCGTAAAAGAGACAGAACATGTCGCCGCCTATTCCCGTAGAACATGGCTCCGTCATGTTGAGCCCGGCCGCTACATGATTTTATTAGTCATTTACACTTTATCATATAGTTGTGTTAGGTCTTACCGACGGCCACAGCTGCATCCTATTAGAGATATGAGCATCCAATCCACACCAAGATTCTATTAATAAACACGTACAGCACAGTTACCCCCAGCTTCCAAGACTTCGATACCGCATTTGGCCGCGAGGGGTTGTGTGCACGACACGATGCCTTTCGTACTATGAACTACACTTCGCCGGCTTGGGAACTTGGAAAAGACATGTGATTCCGGAGGGAACAACGACGGGGTAGCGAGAGGCATTTTGAGCTGCTGAGAGATAGCCAATGGCTTCGTCCACCTTAATACAGCAATTTCTCAAGTGTTGAGTAAGTCAGTTTCCTATAATAGCGGGGTATAAACACATTCGAAGACGGTTTAAGAGACAGCGAATAGTCAAATAAGACGAGATTATAGTTTTAGAGTTCACCCTCTCGGGAAGAAGGGAGTTCAAATGACGTTTGTATGCGATTTCCTCGAGTATCCACGGCCTTAGTTGTATGTATCCGCCAAGCTCGTACCCGAAGGCTTAAGTCTGCCTCGGCAAATAGTACCTAATAGTCCTTGCTATAGCGTATTCGGGACCCCGAATTTCGGAGCCGTTCGAAGTAACGGCGTCTAGGAAACTTGTCCAATTCGGGACTAAAAGTATGGCCAATAAATGGAACATCATATATCTTATTATACATATAGTTACTTTAATATTATATAACGTAAAGAGGATTTTTAAATAAAAGTATAGCATTCCGCGTATGATGTTCGTATATACATCCTTTTAAATAATTCTTCTAGTATCATGTATCATTAAGCTAAACCCCTCTAAATATCCCCTCAAGCACTCGTATAAATCAAGAACCCCGTACAACTCAGCTACTCTCATATCGTCTAATAGAGGAAATAAACCCTAAAGCTGCTCAACAACATGCTGCTCCTGCGTGCCCTCCGGCCACAAAGCCGGTCCAGGAGCCGTGTAATTCGTCAAGGAAGACCAGAATACCGGGATCAGTACCCCCGGCTCGTCCTCCCTATACACACCGGGGATCTTAACTAGCGGACCAAGATCCTCCTCCCTTACGCCCGCGCCTAGATTAGTCACATCTTCCTCCCCCTCCCCCGCAACGACTTTAATCTCTGTGCGCACGATACGTAGAACTGGGCTTGCGCCCATTTATGCGCCGCGTGTAAGGCCAATCCCTCGGCTCGGAGGGGTACTCGCCTGGCGGAGTCGAAGTCGGCAGCGCGAACCGGAAAGTTTCGATGTTGTGCGTGGCCCACGCGAGCACTTCCTCCTCATCGTCATTTATAGAAGAGGAATTGGTGGAATTGGTTGGCGACGATGTCAGCGAGTAGACCCTAGCCCAGCCCCCAGACCCGTCGTAATCAGCGGCCGCGACACCTTCAGGTGCCTTAGATAGATATACCTGTTGGATTCCTGGGTGGCCGAAGTGTTCGTTGATTCCGAAACCGACCTCGTCGCCGGCGCGCACCGTGTAGGTCTCGGCTGGCTGGGCGTCCACGTTGCACCGGAAGTCGGTCGAGTTCACGTTCGTCAGTGGCGCATTGGAATTATTGTGATTTCTAATATATTGCCAGGGTTCTCCAACGACTTCGTCGTTAACAATTAGTCGGCTGTAGGTCCAGTGACCCAGAGCTGCTGGTGCGCTGCTGGTAAGGACCAGACCATAGAGGATCGTTTTCGATATCATCCCGTTGTTTTGATTTGCGCTAATGTGATGATGAATCTAATGGTTCAAAACTAGGAATTTAATATCAGCTTTCTAGTTTTCATTAATATTTGGAATTCATATTATACTTATAAGAAAACACTGGGATTTATGCTTGAGTCCTTGCAAGTGCATTGTAGATCGATTCCTTACTAGCCATCTAGCAATATATTCCAGACCATCTTACGCAGCGCTGTTAGAATACTCCATCAATAATAGGCCGAGAGAAAACCAGAAACTTCGTATTTTTGATCACATACATAAAGGCTAAATATGACCAGGTTCGAAATCAGGTCAGGATAAACATCCCGACCTGCATCAGAACCTGGCAAGCTGATAGTTTGTTGAGATCCTTTGATGGTTATCATACGTAGAGTAATGGTAGAAACCGCAACGAAGCTACTATATAGTAGCCGTGTAGTAGTATGAATCTATTAATGCTTAACCTTCTACTCTTTTTCGATGGGGCGCAGCGCCCTTTATATATCTATTCTATATAGATCTATACTAGTTAATTCATACTAGTATCACTTACCCTGACATAGACATAGTTAACGAAGTACAAATTGAGGAGCAATAGACTCGAGAAAGAAAAGAAAATTATTCACAAGAACTATTTTTTTCGGTGATAATATAAATATGCTGCAATAGCTTATAAATTATTTCGTCACGATTAACTTTGTCACGGATCTAGCCTCAGTAACTTAACTTATAAAATTACATAAACAGCTAAGCTGCTATATCTAACAATCTTGAAACTATAGGTAGCAGAACTCGATCTTAATTCCTTATGTGATTAGCTCTATTGGGTATATGAGTCCTTGAGAAAATAGGTAGTACTAACAATATCTTATGAAGTAATTATGTAGAAATTAGAGTATATCTGTAATCGAATAAATTTACTATTCTCATACTTGATTCAAAGTAGGTTGTACCTATGCTCTAAATCTTTCCTCTATTAACTACAAAATTCGATACCTGTGCCTATCGATATTCTACATAGGGACATACAATCCATCAAGAAATTCCGTGGAACGTATGTTTTATACTTAAAGCTCTGGCGAAAATTTTGGTACAAGAAAACGGCATCGTGGGCTCTTCGTAGGTCAGGAGATATTACCTTTTTGATAATTCTATCTACCTGGTGTGATTGACAGTCTCCGAAAGTTAAGGACTGCGAAAACAAAACAAAACAAAATTAATCTTATTTTCAACAGAGTCAACATTTTCAAAGTAATCATAAAACAATACTTTATGAGATCTACTTCCACATTCAAGTAAAATAGATAATAAATTATCCCTAAAGACCTAATTTGTTTTAGTGAAACCCGGATTAGATCAATATATCTCTAGCATCATTTGATAATTATATGTTAAACCCGTAGTATTTATCAAAATAAGAAGTACTGAACTGACACACAAAGAGTAAAACTCGCACTTTTGGTCGCGCTGTGGGGGTTACAAGTAGTTCCAACTACGAGTCGTCCCCACAACAATATTTACAGGACACCTAAAGACTAAGGGCCAGAAATAAATAAACAGGTAGATAAGATACAAACTCGTCCTCGGAAGTCAAGTTGAAATTGAGGGAACCGTCACAAGGTGGAGCCAAACAGTGTGGAAATAACTTTGTTGTTCACCGAGGATCTCTAACCTAATTACGTTTCTACATACTGAATATGCTCTTTGTCCTAGATGTCTAACCGAGAATCCTGACAGAAGTTATGTTGCTTGGTAAACCAAGAGGCGTTTTCTTAACTTCCAAAGTATTATAAAAGACAGTGACTGTGTGCTGTTTGTCGTCGTTATGGGGGAAAAGCCCTGTAACTGTGAAAAAGAAGGCCCACTATCATAGTAGTTTCCTAATGATGTGTGCTTGATCTAAATGTGTATCTGTGCACCGGCAGAATATTCGTATACTTTAAAATCCCACAAAAGCGTATGAATTTCAGACGAAATAAATCGGCGATTCCCTTCTCATAACAATAATTCTCACATCGTCGACACATAATTACAACTCTAGGACTACAACACAACATAATCAATATGGAACCAGGAAGACCACTCGCCCCGTGGGAACCGCTCACTAATTGGTATGATACCAAATTAGAAGATATTCTACCCCATCATGGATTCGTCTTCAAAGAAGGCCACAAGATCTTCAAAACCAAGCAAGACTGGGTTCGAGTCAAATGGGCCATCGAAGCACCCGCACCTACCCTCGAAGAGGAAAAGGTCGACGCCGTACTAGCCGGTATCATGGACGACGCGAACATCATTTCCAATAACTTTCAGCAAACTTATTCTGCTTCAATCGACTACAGCCACTTCCCTACGGATGCCATTATTGAATCAGCGCGTAAAGAGCACGGCTGGACTGAAATTGTACCTGATGGTCGGTTCCCCCTTCTCATGAAGAAATTGATTCGCGCACGCACTCTTTACAACCGAATCACCTGGATTCTGGGCCGTTCCGAGGCCGATAAGAGTAAGCAGCAGGGAAAACTAGCAACAGCTATCGATCAATGGACTGGAACGCGTCCGGTTGACGATCCTGAGCCGTTTTACGCGCAACTACCTCAATCTCAAGAAGTTACATGATCAGCCGAATGGTTGAGGGAAAAGGCGCAGATTGGAATTTCTTCAAGGGCGACAACCCAGACTATGAGTTCACAAATAACCCTATCGGTTATGGCACAAGTAACTACAAGAAGAAGAAAGAATACAATAATACACTGAGCGACGAAGACGCGCCCTGGGTGCACACTAATTACGCGTCTAACCCCGAGTACACGGTAGAGTCAATAGAAGACGAGGACGACGAGAATGCGCCATGGATTCCTTGGTCCCAAACAATGCGAGCGCGGCAGTTGATACATGAACCTACGGAGGAGGGGCAATTGTTATCATACCATTCCTAAATGGCATAAAGAAATCACGGAGGGGATTCGGGGTGGGCACGGAGTAGATACGGAGCAGGTGCGGAAAAAGGGGGAATAGATAAGGAATGAAATAAGGTAGTGGGGCCGAGTGTTAGCCGGAAGAAGCCGGCATTGTGTTGTTCTGGGACCAATCAAATTCTGATCGCAAGCCCCATCTACCCCTCGCTACCTTTGTAGAAGCTTTGAGTTAGTAGCTTAAGTACCTGTACATATAATAGTACAGAAAGGTGCTAATAATTAAACCCCGCAATCTGCCATCATGCGATTAATACTTCACAAATACATCATATGACAAATTTCTACCTTTACCTACCTACCTAGGTAAATATTTAGAGAAACGTAAGTTTTCCTCACGTTCTTGTTTTCCTTTGTTCGAGACTTGGTTACCCAGTATCTCAGTGGTGTGACGCTACAGCCAAGTGGGCTGGCTGGCTGGTCCCAAGATCTGGGGGGGTGGGTGAACCGCAAGGAGCTCCCTAGCTAGGAAACAATTTATTTCTATACCAACTACAAACGGTGAAGCTTACATAGATATCAAGCGAGACTTCTCTCCTGTGATCTGCTTACATAACAAAGACCTGGTCGTGAAGCTCCGATCTCGTCTTCGGAGCTTGCCATCATCTTGACGTTTTGATGTTATTTAGTTAAACTTGATTCCTGCTGTAGATTGAACCCGACCTGATCATTTTCCTCTAGACTTAACTAATTCCTTAATTGACTCTATCTATCCTATCTACCGGAAATTATACCACCTAAGAACATAAGGAGAAAGAGCAAAGAGAAGCTATGCTCCAAGCCATATCCTCCCAACACGACGCCCACCACGAGCGGCGGCGCAAGAATTCCCTCGCTAGTCTAACGGGCTCATTACGGGATAAAAAAGTACATCTGCTACTTGCGGCCTCCGGCTCCGTTGCCACCATTAAACTACCGCTGATTATCGAGGCACTGGGGAAGAAGCACTCGGAGCGGAATAGTGGCAAGGAGCTCAGCATTCGCGTCTTGCTAACACCAGCCGCATCGCGCTTCCTCGGGGGCCAGTCCCACGAGCAGCCTCCCTTATCCTCACTACTTTCCACGCCATGCGTCGACGGTGTCTACGTGGACGCAGATGAGTGGCGGGAGCCTTGGAAGCGCGGCGATGCGATTCTGCATATTGAGCTGCGGCGCGATGTAAGCATTCTATTCCTACCCCTTAATAGCGTGTCACGTAGGCTAACTCAGAACAAAAGGGGCCGACCTCCTTGTCATTGCTCCCCTGAGCGCAAATACCATGGCTAAGATCGTAGGCGGCTTCGCCGACGGTATTTTAACAAGTGTCGTGCGCGCATGGGACGCATGGGGCGAACTTGACAGCGATCTGGTTCTTGCTAATGGCGAACAACCTCTTCTCGACGGAAATAGAAGGAGACGGCAGAAGAAGCATATTATTGTAGCGCCGTAAGTAATTCTACCACCTCCGCTCATTAAAATTGCATGTCAAAGATCCGTTCGTGTGCCAGAGATTGGGATGCTTCGTGATCTTTCTTCCTGCTCATAGGACTCATCTAGAAGATGAATCTTCACAATCGCTGCTTGGAGTATATCACTGACTCAGCATCCTAGTGCTATGAACACAGCCATGTGGCGACACCCAGTTACGGCCAAATCACTACGTGTTCTAGAGGAGGAATGGGGAGTATACCGCAACAGCAACAAGGCAGCGCAAGCGCCAACCGCGGATGAGAGCCACACAGTAGAGGAGCAGGTTGAAAACGCTGATACCGACGATGATGGTGGCTGGTTCGAAGTTCTACGACCACAGCAGAAGACACTGGCGTGTGGGGATGTTGGAGACGGCGCTATGATGGAATGGAAGGACATTGTGACTGTTATTGAGGACAGACTGGGCTTAAACGAATGACTGAGTACCTAAGCGGTTCACTAATTTGCCATCTATATTTGGCTGGATTACGTAGAGTAGTAATATGGGAGGCTACACAATTCTAGCAATAGGGGTTAGGTCAGGTAATGCAACAAGCGTGGTTCTACTTATTAATGTACTGCTACGGAATGGGACCTAATATAAATAAGGGGCCAATCCTTGCTTGATTTTCGGGGTCCAAAAAAAGTATCATTACAGCTGAGCAATAAAGATGGAAAGACACAAGCCAATCTTAGACAAATTGTCAAGATTAATAGGCTAGGTCCGCAAGTCCATCGTCAAGTTTGCAAAAGCTCGAAGCAACTATTATACATTCCTCCTGGTGATCATCTCGTCCTTCGTAACACCCGTTTCGTACACCATCCCTCCTTGAATATGAATCTTGTTCCTTAATACGGATCTGACCTTGTCAGAATGCTGCTTTTCGTGTCGTTTCCTCTTGAAGAAAAGAAGAAAAAAAAATTTTGTAGTAACTCAACGCGAGGCTCGGCAAGGTGTGCAATATGAGAGAACATATGCTAGTGGCCTGTTTGCGCGTAGAAAAAGAAGAGAAGAAGAATTAAGTTCAGACTGGCCGACGAGGCCGGCTGTAATGACGTCCCGATCAACCAACGGGAGTACAATGCAAGAATCCCCTTTCATGCCGTATGCCTCCTATTCCTCTCGTGAGGCGAACTCCTTGCAATGCAGATTTTTGTACAATAACGAAAAAAAAAAAAAAGCGCAGATATAACTTAAGAGTGGTATCGGCAAGCTGCTAAAGTCTTGGTTTAGGTTGTTCCAGTACTGGTTATTCTAGTTCTGGCCTTGGTCCTGAAGATCGTTCGGGTCGTGCCGAAATGTGCAATTGCTGCCCTTGGCACACTGACCCTTCGCCCAGAATGAGCATGGTTTCGTGCCGATGAGAGAGCGGTTGATGTTCTTTTGCTCTCTGTTGCCTCGGAAATCCCTGCGGTTACCGCGGTCATTACTATCATGCTGACCTTGCGTTGCCTGGGGTTGATTGTGCTGGGATTGACTGCCGAAAGACTGGTTGTTATGACCATAACCAGTATATGCCTGGCTGGTTTGGGGCTGAATCTGAGGCTGGTTCTGAGACCAGTCTGGCCAATAGCCCTGAGGCGCGGCGTGGGAAGCAGCATTGGTAGCAACATTGGGAACCGCATGAGGAGTAGCATACGCGGGTGCTGGTGCTATCTTTAAGGCGTCTAAAATCCCCTGTAAACCTTGCAAAGATTAGCCGGCTGAGCCGGTTGAGCGGTTGAGGCGGGGGGACTACTGATTGTTGAAGTAACGCGGCAAAGAATGGCTGTTGGGCAACAGGATTCGGCTGAAAAGAAGGGGCCACAGGAGGCTGGACGCTAGGTTGGAGAGCTTGACCAGCACTGAGAGCATTGATTTTCTGAAGAGCTTCCAAGTACTCTGGTGGAAGTTGTTGCTGGGGCTGCGGCTGGGCCTGTTGTGCCTGAACGTGCTGTGGCTGGACCAGCTGTTGGTATTGTTGACTAGCATTTGCTTGAAGCATGGGGGGCTGGTTAGGAGGGGCCTGTTTACCGATGAACATTGCAAAGGTATCCTCCAAAGCATCGATGTCTGCTTGAACCTTAGGATCCCCGTAATCATGCCGACGGCGAGTCTTGGGGCGCGCTGGATCGAATGGGTCTGGATCTACGTAGTTCTTGACTTTGTCCGATTGTAGTAATGCAAGCACTTCTGACCCATTATCTCTTCCAATCGAAGCATCCCATCCACTGCGACCACGCGCCGCCACGTTAGGCAAATTCATCGGACCGCGTGAGGCTTTCAATCTATGGAGAGCATTGACTAGTGCCATCTCGCGTCCGAAATTTATGTTGTCGGACCAACGACGGTGAATCTCTGCATATTTCATCGCCGGTAGAGATTCATTCCACTGCGTCGGGCCTGATGGTAGAGCTCGGATCTTTGGTTGCGTTACAATCTCGGCGATCCTACCAGTTGGTGATCTAGGCGTCGCGGGAACTTCTGAGAAGCTCGTGTATATAGCCATCAACTCCCGGCTTTCGTATTCTTCCATCACCTTATTCTGCTTGGACTCAACGGGACGCAAGCCACCACGAGAGGTAAACATTTCCTCTTGCCGCTTTTGAGAGATGCGGCTCTTTTGTGCCGGCGAATAAGGGATAGGTTCGGTCCATTTTCGTAGGGCAATACCATTTGTTTTCTCTCGGGCTTCGTCTTCTTCAGCATCATCTACCCCTTCCTTTTCCCGTTGAACTGACTCTCTCAGCACCTGACCTTCAGAACGGTTGTCCCGGGCATCCCGTAACATGTTGTCATCCCGACCTTTGTCCTCCGCCGTATCATGCTCCAAGATACGTATCTCGGTGAGTTCACCGTCAGGCTTCCAAGTGACATGCAGCTTTCGTTTTGCTTCCTTACGCAATCTGATCTCAGTCTCCTCTGGAGTCTCTGGGGCTCTTTCCGGTTCCTTGACTTGCTTGGGTTTCTCCGAATTGATCTCGGCGAGAAGACCGCCGATTGCGGAAGAGGCGGGTTGTCGAGCAACCGGCTTCTTCGGTTGTACCTTGGCAGACGATCGTGATCTACCGGGGAGCATTGACCCGCTAGGCCTAGAGCGAGACTGTGCGTTCGCTGACGAACTTTGGGGAATTGCAGGAGTTACGTTAGATGATGTCTTGGCACTCGACGGAGCACCGGCTGCATTCTCGACGGCAAGCTTCTTCGGGACTCTCGAATCGACGCCATCATCCCCAGGCCTCTTGGAAGCGGTAAGAGAAGGGCTTGATTTTGCAGCCGTACTGCTAACCTTTCTAGCCGATCCAAGGCTAGAATAGTCAATAGGTCTCTTGATCTCTGCGTTGTTCTTCTTTGACAGAGCATCATTCTTCGAAAGTGGTGTCTTAGAAGAAGGAGCTATAACAGGGTCCTTATTGCTCATTGAAGATGGCTTCTTAGGACCCTGAATAGCTTTTTTGCCATCTTCATTCTTCTTGACATCCTCTCGAGTCTCCTCTGCTTTCAATGCGGAACGCTTCTTAGCATTGTCAAAGATCTGATCCATGTAATCGGTGGATTCCTCATCAAGATTGTCCTTAAATTTCTGTCGGACGCGATCCAGCTTGACTCTCTCTTTCAAGAACTCCACTTCTACCGTAACAAATAGGGAGAGGAGTTTCAAGATAGCCTTCGGCAGGCGGCCGTTGTAGTCTTCAGCCACGAAGAGGGTTCGTAGTAGAATGGAAAGGTTGCCTAGGAATTTGGTATGTATACCTATTTGAGTGAGGGTAAATCTATCGCCAAACATGATGGCGGCCTCGATAGCAACACGGATGGTGTCGTATGTGGCGTCCAAATCAGCTTTAAGTGAGGTCGCTTTAGCCTGATCATTCTTCTTCTTGGCATCATCAACTTTGCTCTTCAAGTCTTTGCTCTTAGACCACAAGTTTATAACATAATCGGCAAAGACATGGAGCTTGTCGATTACCAAATTATGTGGAAATTCGGGATGCTTGGGATCGCGCCAGAGAATGTTGATAATATCATACTCTATGGCCTTAAGAGCATCGCTTGGCCGACCGGATGACTTGATCTATTCAGAGTCGCGTCAGTTTTGATGTTTGGCACAAATAGATAATAATGGGAAGAAGTTAAAGCAATTCTGGAAATTGAAAGTAACATACCTCTCGTGCTGTAGCATCTGTCGCGTTTTCTTCATCTTCAGGCACATTCTCTAAGCTTTTGGGCTTTGAAGTAGAATCCATGTTGGAAGCTTGATGTTTCGAACTGGCTTTCACCTTTGCTTGTGCAGCAGGTATGAGGTCTGCAGTGAAATATTAGCTTAACAAATCAAAGGGGAAAAAAGACTAATGTAAATATTTTAATGTGACAAGTGCTTAATGCTTACCTTTGGATGTAGACACAATAACCGGTTCGTTTTCTAATTGGGCTATCTGACCTTCAAGCTTGTTTTTCTCAGGTTGAAGTGCCTGGTCGCGTTCTTTTTTTAAGCGCTCAAGTTCCGCCAGAATTTCACAGGGGAGTCGACCCTGTCTAGAAGGTAATAGCGCAGTTGTGCGCAGGTTGTTTTTGGCGATGTAGGATTTGTCCGTGCTTCGTAGGTTCAAGTCGCAATATGTGCCTAACCTTGTGGGCGGTGGATTCCTTACAAGAAGGAAAGGGCACCCGTCAGGATTTTCCCAAGAGCTGTCGGGTTCCTGTGCAATGAGTTGATCATTTGAAGGCGGTGGCCCCACAACTGCCGTTAATTGAGAAGCAACCGTTGTTGCGGCTGCGGTTGCGGGGTGTGCTTGAGGTGTCGGCACAATACCTTGCATCTGTTGATGCTGCGAGTAAATCTGATCGGAAGTTTCCTGAACATTTCCAATTGGACTAGGCTGGAACTGCATAATAGTTCCACCTCCAGTTTGATGGCCCTGATAAGACTGAAGCATAGGTTGAGCTTGTTGGGATCTGAAGCCTGTTTGTCCATTTCGGGCGCTGAATACTTCTGGACTAAAGAAATTATTTCCTTGGTAAGGGCTCACATTTTGCTGGTAAGTTTGGTCGCCATTACGATGACCATAGTTAACTGGATTCAAGGCAAAATCTGACTGGAACTGTTGAATCGGAGGGCCTTGCCATGGCTGCGAACTGAAAGCACTCGGCGTATGGCTATGAGTTCGACTAGGCTGTTCAGTCACGAACTGACTGTGAACTTCCCTATTGGAGAATCCTGTTTCATATCCTGGGTTGACGTTGAAAGAAGAGCCCTGATACGGATGTTCGAACTGGCCATGGCCATGGCCGTGGAGACCACCTCCATTTGTGTTTGCACCACCAAAACCATGGGGACTTTCATAGTATCGCCCATGAATCTGGACAGTCCCTTCCGGAAACTGCCCTTGGAGATCAAACTGATTTCCAGGATGGCCAGGATGGCCAGGATGTGAAGGATAAACATGAGCGTGGGGGAGATTGTTAGCCTCAGGTGTTTGGAATCCTTCCAGAGAGCCTATCGTGATGCGTCCTTCATCTGCTTTGATACCACCTGCACCATACCCATTTGGGTCCCAGGGCTGGTGCCCTGCCATTGTGATTTGTGGTGTTGTCCTTTGGGGGAGCACGTGATAGGGGATGAAAAGTGGCACGTGATTGATTTCAGAAAAAAAAAACAGAAAGAAAAGACACGTGATCTATTATTCAAGGTACATATTAGTCATCACAGCCACAGATGAAGTGGGGCTGCTGTACCTCTATTGAGGGGTAAAAATCGTCAGGGGGATGGGGGAGTGGGGATATCAACTAGCCCCATGCAACAAAAAAAAAAAAGGTACTCTGCAGTTGTCATCACTTACCTGAGTTAATTGTGCGTGATGGGATATCTCAGTCACAGCATTACTGCTAATACCATGAATGAGAGGATATGTCTCACGCAGAGAAAAGGCCCTGAATTCTGTATGGCTGTGGAACTCGATATGGATCTTCAATAAGTTAAAGGTGTCGTGTTAGTGAACCCACAATATGGAGGGGTGTGGTATTAAGATGATCCTGTAAGAAGCAGTTGGGGCTTGCAGGTTGCGTTTAGACCGGAACAGGTATGGGTTGACAGCAGATCAAAGCCACCTGCAAAGAGACAAATCAGTGTTGGCCTTGAGGAAAAGAAAATGAAAGAAAAAAAAGTTGCACAAGTGAGAAGCGGTAACGAGAGTTAGGGAAATGCAGAAAAGACACGACACTGGATAGAGACCAGTAAAAAAAAAATTTTTATTGGGCATCTCCTCGACGATGATGGGGAATTATCGGACCATCGTCGTCCAAAACCATCGGCCGGGAAGGGGATTTTGGCGTAACCAACTCGGATCGGCTTTGACGTTATGACTAGATATGGTCATCTATAAATTCGGGACTCCTGAGCTTCCAATTATAAGGCTTACGCCCTCTTTCGAAAAGGAAATAAGATACAGCCACAGCATGGTTTAGCTTGCCGGAATCTCTAAAGGGGGACCGGATAACTTATAATTATAAGTCGAAACTGCATAGTTGGAGACATGTTGCTTGATATCTAGGGTTGAAATCGAATTGATGAGTATTGCTCCATGAGCTTTCGCTAATTGTCTCTGTCCAAACCTTTGGTGGACCTGCCGGCATAAAGCAGTCCCTTATCCCCTTGGAGGGAGGCTCAAGAACTCTTGGCTGCGAACAATGGAGAGACCATTAATTGACTGATGAAGAGCCTAACAACATGCCCAGACTAGAATGATCTGGGTATGCTGCTAGGCCATCATATTCAAAATTAGGATATTTTCAGGGAGACTACGTCTCTCTTCAGCTTTAAGCTTCTTTCACTCTCCGTCCCTTTGTAAGATGGGAATTTAGGAGTTACTTGTTAGATGTTTGGACTGGTCACTAGAACTCTTAATGTTCAAGTAATACCCCTCGAATGCTCCGCTGTAATTCAAAGTGAAGATGCGTCCATTGTTTCCTTTTTTTAATTCTGCTGTTGGCTGCCAACCCAAATTTCCTACTGCCGAAATGCAATTATACTGCTGCAAGAATCGGAGTTCGGGGATAGGGGGGAGAAAACCCGTAACAGAGTAATCAACCAGGGCGCACACACACTATACAAACACGAGCCTCTCTTAAATTTGTGCAGATAATAGTGCTGAAAGGGTTCTTGAAGGGGAAAAGGGGGGGAAAGGGAGGGGGAGGGAAAGTTGATGTTATTGTCATACCCTTTAGTATTTAGCTTAACTCCCAGAAATCCACCTCCTTCTGCTGCTGCTTGCTACTGTTTCTTCTTATGAAGAGGATAGCTGCTTGTCATGCTCTCATTATTGAGAGATACAATTTTACGACATCAAATCTCCTCGGGATTTAGATGGGAGGAAAGAAAGAAATAAGTCTATCTCAAAAGGGCCCTGAATGAGTGGACTGTAGAACAGTTTTTTTTTCTGTTGATTGCTAGCCTGAATGATCGGATGACGAAGTAAGAGCGAGCGACCGAGCAAACGGTACAAATATTGCGAAATATATGGGTAACTAACCACGAAGAAACCCTCTCTATGGAAATTATTTACTCTCAAATTAGAAGAGAATTAAATTTAGATAATACCAGAGCTGCAATGGAGTACAATTAAGTGATGGCAAGTCGATGACAGACAAGAGGACAAGAGACAATGTGGCAATTGAGAGAGAAGAAAAAGAGACGTGACGGGGCGGGAAAAGGATAAAGAGGAAAGTTGGCGTCGCAACCTTTTTTTTGGGGGGGGGGACCGCGCGAGCAAAGGGGAAAGAAAAACCACCCAAAGTGGAGCTGAGACTTTCGCCTATGGCCCTTTGGGGGGTTAGCGTTGGTATGTCGGCTTCCTTGTTTCACAGTTGGAATCAATAAAAGGTAAATGTTACCTTAATAATCCCGGTTGTATGGTGTATTCTACGTATCCAATGTAACTATGGGATATTATGTACATAAGTAGTAAGTAATTAAACTTAGGTAACTACCTCCTACCTATAAATCTTACTATTATTAACGTGGCGTATACCTATTATATATATTTGGGCTCCAGTAATCATAGGATCATAGGTCATAAGTCTTCAGCGCGAATCTCGTAAATATAATAGTTAATATATTTTTACCTATGTATACCTTACCTACTTAACCTATCAACAGTTATAATGCAAGTCTATGTTACCTTATTATACGAGTAATGCTAGAAGAAAGTACATTGAATCATCTAATAGAAATAGTCTTACTCTTGCTAAAAAAGAAAATAACGCTAGTGCTCTTCGATGCTTTATTAGGTTAGATAGAATATTTGAATAATCAAGCCATCCAATTAAGGAACAGTACCAAGGCTCGACTCTTAGGTAGTTCCATTAACACGTGCGAGGCTACAAAGTACTTCGTACATCGGATAGGAAGTCGTGTCATTTGCTGAATTGACGGGAGCTAAGCTCTTTTCTATAATTCAATAAAGTCGACGTCAACCTCATTACATGTTCATATCGTACATGTCGATGGATGAAGCATGATACCCCGGGATATCGCAATCCCCCACAATTCGAGAGAGCGACATACGAGTGACAAGTTAAAAATATATCTAAACATATGAAATATTAGCTTACGATTCACTTAACAATTACTTAACAATTCGATCATCTTCTCTCAACTTACAGGTCGCATTCTAAAAACATATACATGTATGACTTGGACGACGGCGACAAGTACATTCCTAGCAGCACCGCGCAAGGGTTGAACACAGTAACGCGGCGCAAAAACGGCTGTGAATAAAATATACTCCCCCCGAACTTCCTCGTCTCCATCATCGTCCATATGGCTGGAGTTAAGGGGAATTCGCTACGCGATCGTCAAATTGGTCAGATTCCCAACATAAATATCCTCTTCCTCTAGCTCCCTAGACTTATGTAGCTAACATACATTAGCATCGCTGAAGAAGATTCTCAACTTGAACGAGGTCGTTGAACAGAAAGATGAAGACGAATCCCATGCCAACGGGCTGGCCCCTGTTGGTCCTATCCTAAATGCCAATGGCGAGCCTGTATGGAAGGTCCTTGTCTTTGATGACCTCGGTCGCGATGTAATCAGTAGCGTCATGAGAGTAAATGACTTGCGATCAATGGGTGTCACTATGCACATGTAATAAACCCTTGCGAATTGGACAGGCCATTATCGTATTACTTATTAACCTACGGCGTTTACCTAGGCATCTAGCCGCATCTCGACATCCTATTCCCGACGTCCCCGTCATATATCTCGTCGAACCCAGCCCGAAGAACTTAGAAGGCATAACGGGCGATCTACAAAAAGGCCTTTACTCTCCTGCCTACATCAACTTCCTCTCATCCATACCGCGCCCCCCTCCTCGAAGATTTCGCGTCGCAAACCGCAGCTGCCGGCACCGCGGAGCACATTGCTCAACTATTCGACCAGTACCTAAATTTTATCGTCGCCGAACCAGACTTGTTCAGCTTAGGGATGCAGAAGGAACATACATACTGGGCATTGAATAGTGCAAAGACCAAGGATGAAGAATTAGATCACGTCGTCGACAGGATAGTCAGTGGTTTGTTTAGTGTTGCTGTGACTATGGGTACGGTATCTCAACAATATCCATTTATAATCGTTATGCTGATTATATATATCAGGTGTCATTCCAATTATACGATGTCCTAAAGGTGCTGCAGCAGAGATGATTGCTGGCAAACTCGACCGAAAGCTTCGCGATCACATCCTCAACTCTAAAGATAATCTTTTCTCTTCCAATACACGACCCGCCTCATCTGCAGGCACTCCTGCCTCTCGTCCCGTCCTTGTCATCCTTGACCGAAATGTCGATCTAAACCCTATGCTCTCGCATTCCTGGACATATCAGTCGCTTGTACATGACGTCCTTAACATGAAGCTCAATAGGATTACTATCGAGACGCCTATAGATGAAGAGAACCCGGCGAAGGGGGTAACAAAGAAGGCTTACGACTTGACTTCTACGGATTTTTTCTGGGAAAAGAACTCCGGTGTACCCTTCCCCCAAGTCGCCGAAGATATCGACGCTGAGTTAATGCGGTACAAAGAAGACGCGCAAGAAATTACCAAAAAGACAGGCGCATCGTCTATAGAAGACTTGCAGAACGACACAAGTGCGAGCGCTCAGCATCTTAAGGCAGCGATAACGTTACTGCCAGAGTTGAGGGAGCGAAAAGCCGTGTTAGATATGCATATGAATATCCTTGCGTCAGTTTTAAGGGGCATAAAAGATCGGCAACTGGATAATTACTTCCAGATGGAAGAAAACGTCATGAAGCAAACGAAAGCCCAAGTGCTAGAGGTCATCAAGGACAACGATAAGGGCAACGATTCCTTAGACAAGCTCCGCTTGTTCATAATCTGGTTCTTGAGCACAGAGCAGGAAGTTAGTCGGGCGGATTGGACCCAGTTCGAGGAAGCTCTCACAGCGGCAGGAGTAGACACTACTTCTCTTGCCTATGTCCGACAGTAAGTTCTTGGATTATACGTAGCTCCCTCTTTTTTTCGATATGTATAATGCTAATGTTGACCTCTAGGGTTCGGGCTACGACGAAGATGACCCAATTAACAACTATCGGCCCGTCCCAACCCTCCGCCGCGCAATCTGGCTCGACTGACCTCTTCGGACGTTTCTCTTCTCTGTCGAGTCGCCTGACTGACCGATTAAAGGAGACTGGTGTTGGAGTCCCCACAAATCTCGCGTCCAACTTTGACTCCTTAATAGGCGGTATCAAAAACTTCTTACCAGCCAACCGCGACCTAACTATCACCAAAATCGTCGAATCCATTATGGATCCCCAAGCTGCATCGACATCCGCCATCGCCAAGACAGAGAATTACCTATACTTCGACCCGCGAAGCGCAAACGCACGAGGTAGCATGCCGCCACCAAGCGCGGTACGAGCCGGCGTAGCAGGTAGCACACCAGGATCACTCCCCGGCGGTCCCGGGATCCAGGGCCCCGGAACAGGCGCCAGCTTCGGACAGCGACGACAAGGGTATACGGAAGCGGTCGTATTCACCGTTGGTGGCGGGAGCATGGATGAGTACGGCAATTTACAAGAGTGGGTACAACGGACAGGCGAGGGAGGTCGTGCCAAGAAGAGAGTCGTGTACGGTAGCACGGAGCTCCTGAACGCGCACGAGTTCATCAAAGAGGAATTGGAGAGGCTGGGACGGGAGGTCCCGTAGACGTACCCGCCGTAGCGGCCTAGGATAGGGGATTAAAAGAAATGGGGATAGATGAATTAATAAATACAAGAAATATAGCCTCACCTGTCGTCATGCGTGTTGCAACAATGTGTTTGTCCTTGTACTATTGTTGGATTTGAATGAGTACGTGTAAACTGTGCTACCTTACCCTATCTTAATTAAATCAGTCGCAGTTGCTTATACCATTCCATCGAAGCTTTAATACCATATATAGCATAATTCTGAATTTCTCTTGGGTTCTTCATACATGCTAACTAATATTCATCTTGTATACCGTTTAATTTACTTTCATCCACTTCGTACACAAGTAGAACTTACCTTGCTCGGTTTCAAATATAACAATTTCCCTGGAAATATTCCCTTGTAGCAAAGTAATTAAGTCCTACAAGTTCCGTATCACTACACGTCAAAAAATAAGAACGGTCGTTTACGAAGCTACGAGAAATATGCATCACACTTAAGAGCAATCGATCATCACCTTTACATTATATACTAAACATAGTTTGAAAGGGTGTAATAATGAATTCATCTCAAAGCTATGCTACTATCAACTCAATAGAATATAGGGAACTCCACTACGCCAACCGATGCTACTACCCTGATACCACTTCATCGCTCTGATATTTACATAGCAATCTAAACTAGGTAGCCTATTTCCGTCAAGGATAGCATAGCCTCAGTTCAAGGATAAATAGAACCCCCTTCACTTATAGAATTTCTCACCAGCGACTCCAATAATCCTCAAGAGTCACCACCACGCCTTCATTCTATAGGGACATAAAATCATGATCTGATGCCGCCAGCGCAAAACGTCATTATACATTCATCTCAAGTTTTCGCTGTATATTCTCTCTCGTCTCATTATTCAACGCAATCAGCATTATTCCATGCGACAAAAATTTGCGCTGTCTCATTCCCTAGTCTCTGAATGTCGTAGTGAACTTGATGAATTGGGTATATGCTTACAAAATCCGAAATTTTTTCGGAAAGGGAAATCAAGAATAGAACCATGTGGTAAGGAAGTTTAACGATGTGCGACTCGGAGGCTGAATAAAATCCAGATAGATCCGGACTAGTCCCCCAAAGTATAGGAATCTGAAGGTCGATAAATGCCGCGAGCGGTCTAGTGTCATCGAAGAAGACGCGTTTGAAAAAGTCCACAACGTCATGCAACAAGAAACAGAAATCAACGGTGGATACTAAGGGTAAGATAGGCACTATCCAAAGCCATGTGGAATCAACAGGGAGATGAAGATGACGCTCATGTAAAATATCATCCACGGCTTCTAGGGGGAACAACCTGGTGGGAAAACACCACACTAAGCCTAGGCCCCACCGTTGTCAAGTCTGAGAGTAGTCTTTCGAGTAATATGTTGCAGACACGGTAGCGACACAGAAGATTTGCCTAACTACTTCTAAGCCGCCAAAGTTTTTAGAAGCCGATATAAAAGAAGGGCTCGGGAAATGCCCTCCAGTAAAACGATGCCAGCTCTTTAAATATCCGGCGAGTGTAGAATACGAATAATGGTTGATTAGGATATACCTGGAATGGAAGCTGCCTAAACACCTCTGAACATACGGACGATGAGAAACCAAACAGCGCCGATGAATTTGAAAGCGGAGAGGCCCGCAACACTCCAGAGGATAATTGTCATATATAACGTTGAGCGTTGGTTTTGGTTTTGCTCTTCCTCCTGGGGGCTGAGCCTTTCAAGACCAGCAGTGCTGAGAACTAGAGCCACAAGACCGAAGTTCGTAATCATCCAGATAAGGACGACCAATGAACGGATCCAGCGGTAGTAATCCATTTGAGCCTCAGCCTTTTGAGCGTCACTGGGGGGCTTCTGAACAACCACCAGTTTCTTGCCAAATACCGCCAATTCTCTCTCGTACTGGGCGTTCAAGTCTCCTTCATCAGGAGGTCGGTCTTACCTTACCGTCCTTAGTGTCGACTGTAGGAAGTTCCTCGGCCTTGTCGTCTCCCTTAGTACCCACCCCACGATATATCGTGCGTATTGCAGAATGCATAGACGTTAAGAACATTAACGTAGGTCGGCGTTTAATAGTAGTACTGTATAATGAAGTAATCATATGCCACGGGTCGAACATCATAATCGAGGCAATAAGCCAAAGCCCATAAGTCGACATCATAGAGACGATGAGTGTAGAAAACCTTATTCCTGAATATATCGCTGATGTCGAACCCTTTATTCTGTTCGACACTCTTCTGCACTTCGCTTTGAACCGCATTACGGTGATGTAAACAGCCGCAAAGGTTAGGTATCTATATCGATGGTTAGTTATCAATCTAAGTTGCAGGGGATAATAGGGGTAGACTTACATCATAATCACACACAGAATAACCATGGCTGTATATAGTTTACCGGAACCTGACGGGCGATTACCCATAGAGAGAACGAAGCAGGCCATTAATGAGATACCGTAGAACCATTCGAAAACGACGCCAAGAATCTCGCCGACTTGGCCCAGCAGTTTATCATCTCCAAGACTTGTCGTTAATATCTTGAAAACTAAGAAGAAATTTCCAATGGCAAACCAGGCGAATATCATGTTGAAGGTTTGGAAGACGAACTCCAGGAAGAACATTAACTTGCGAAGAATGGAGTGGTCCGAACGGAAAAACTGGTAGAAGTGTGCAATAGCGTAAATAGCAGCGAAGAAGGAGCCGTTCAGCCATCGTCGACGCTGTAGAATGAGCTCGGTCACAGTGTCGGGAACATCCGTTTCTCCTGTTGCCGATTTCACATATTGCAGGATCCAGTGGCAGTTGCGCTTGGTAACAAGTTCAAAGCAGAGAATACGATCTTCGGCCAGATACATGTTGGCGGTGAAAACACCAGCACCAGCACCATGGAGCGTTTCGCCCTTGAAGTATTTCTCCAAAGGCCCCAAACCGTTCTTGTCGTTTTGCAAAGCAACATATCGATATGCCGAGAAAGCACCGGGTAAAACAGAGATGAAGCCGAATGCTGATTCCAGAGGTTTATCAAGGATATTGCTCATCTTGTACTCGAAATTCTGGGTCGCAACAAGAGGGTTAATCAATTCCTTTCCACCTCTACCCAACATCGCTTTGATCTCACCGCAAGCGCCGGCACACATAGGCTCCAGATCGAACGCCTTCCAGAGGTGGTAAATAGAATTTCCACCCGGCTTAGTACCCGCATCAATCAGTACACAAATGTTGGGGTCTAAAACACGGCCAAATGCCTGGAAGAACCATCTGTGGGAGTTGATTTTCTTCTGATTCTTCTCCTTTAAGCAGAAAAGCATTTGTACGGGCTGCTTCTTGGGGATGAGTTGCACCACGTCGTTCTTGATTTGCATCCCAACTTGCGTTGTGTACTCGTAGATATGCGCAGTAACATCTTTCCCGTTAACTTGCTGCTTGGCAATACCCTCCTGATATACACCCATACCGGAAAGAAGCGCCCTTGTCCGCGGATTGATCTTGGCACGTCCGTCACTCACCACACATACCACGATCTTCTTCCAAGCGTCTGGACCCCACGTCTTGCTTTCTTTCCGGCTACACATGTACTCAACGTTCTTCAAAACACCAATCATGGTCCGGGCAAAGAGAATATCGTCTTCATTGTACATAGTAACAACGATAAAAAGCTCAGTGTGTCGCGGTTTGCTGAAGAGCTTCTGGCGCAAAGTGAAATTTTCATTGTAAAAATCATTCGGGTCGCAAGTAGCAGCTGAGTATCGCATGTGGGTAAATTCGTCACGCTCACCATGGGGAAGCTGATTCAGCAGTCGAGGGGGTACTGGGCAATCAAGAACCAAATTACCACGGTATAGGAGCACCTGTTTCACGGTCTTCCACCTCTTGATCCCTGCGCCCTGCTGCTGTTGGCGATTTGGGTCATCGGCATATGGCTCTTGCGGTTGAGGCTGCGCGTAAGGCTCGTTCTGGCCTAACATCGGGTGCTGGTCATCATAATCGTATCCATGTTGATCAGCAAAAGGTGTTGTAGTGGTAGGCGGCTCATAAGGTTGGTTATAATAAGCTTCGTGGTGCTGTTCGGGGTTGACAGAGAATTCGGAAGGGTATCCGCCCTGACTATGTCCATAGGGGCCTTGAGAGAGGCTATCCATAGAGTGCGCAGCATTTAACGGGAGACGATCGCTTGGGGTATATCTTCCTGGGCCAGCAGGTATATCAAGATTACTTGCAGGTGCTGGGTGACTACCATAAGGTACGTCGTCGAGCTGATACCCATGCTGAAGAGGGTGACCCGGCGAGGGCGTACGACCTATTCTGTGATTATCCATAGTAGGATCGTAGTAATCGTCGTCTAGAGAAATTATGACTCGTCAGAACAATAGGCCTTCGAGGTTATTATTTAGGGTCGGAATTAGTATATGTATCGGAGTACACGTAGAGCGCTTTAAGCTACATGTGCCGCCTGCGTCACGGAGGTTTGCGTCACTTATGATTTAGTAGAACAAAGCAGTGACAGGGTATGTTCCACACAATAGGGTATCAAAAATATTAAGGTGAATTGTGTGAGAAGTGATAATGAATAGGTAACGAAATACTTTCGTTGAACAGCCCAGCTGAGTGGCAGTGAAAGAGAGGCAAAAGACGAAATGGGAAGATTCCAAGAGCAGGTTGAGGGAAGGTTAAGTCATGATACATACCTAAGCGATTATACGACATGGTTTATGTGTTATTCCCCTATGGCCCTACGGGAAAGGTGGGCGCTTCAAGCGGTTAAGTTATAAGGGGGTGCGGCAGAAGTGAGTGAGACTTTGGCTATACGCGACTGCGATCGCAACGAGAGACTCTCAAACCAGTGACTGGAATGTGCCAATATGCCAATGTGGTGGCATGTACGTGGAATGGGTCTAGATGGAGACTCGATTCGTCCTCGGTAGATTCGAACGACCCTTAACCCTGAAATTGAGTTATTTGCGAGTGGGTTTTTACCAGGTATAAAGCACCCGTTATAATAATTAACTTTGTATGAGACCTCGACAACAAAGGGTTGTGGTTATCTGGTAATTAGGTATGTTGCGAATTTACTCTAGATGGAAGTTACCGAAGAGTTCCTTATTTCTTATTTCTTATTTCTCCTTAGGTAGCTAGGAGAAAAAAAAACGAAAGGGAGGATTAAGGAACTCAAGGGGTTGAATGCGCTTAGAGATTTGCAAAGAGGGTGGTTAAGGGCGGAAGAGAGAGAATTGGATTTCTCGTCGAAGAGTTTCACCAGGCAGAAGATTTGCGACAATATTGACTGGGTAGCGACGATTGGGGGAGCATCAACTTAATTGTCAAGGACTAAAGTCACTTGGGGAGCAGGTGATAATCCTGTTTCAGATCAACAAAGTGGGCGCAGCAACGAATTACAGGCTACTAAAACTATACTTTAACCCTGCAGCTGCCCTGTAAAAGATATCGGTACTATGATACATAAGGTACGGAGGGTACGAAGGGTACATGGGTGCCAAACAAACACTAACCTTTTTTCCCCTCTCCACCCCGGTCGGCCCAGCACCCGTCTGATCTTGCTCCACTTCCGCCCACTTGTAGCACGTTTCCAAGTGACGTCGTTTGCTTTTAAGTACCTAGGTATCTCATCCTTAGGTCCCTTCATTACACATAAGGTTATCGTCACTCCTCTACATTTAAGAGTTGCGTCTTAAAAAGGTAATCATAACTTCAACCTAACTTATCCAACCCAGCCAACATTATAAAAAAAACATGCAGTTTATAATAACGGGTAAAGCCGTAGGAACGCGCAAGGCGATGTCGCGTAAAAAAAAAGGCCAAGCGACTAGGTTTCTCCAGAATCTTGCTGCATAACCAAAAATAGAAACCCGATCGAGTCCGAATTTGACAAAAGCTGGGTTGCCACAGTCTTTTCTCGTCTTTCTCAGCCACAATCGAGCTGACGACTACAGCTATAATGACGACGAAGAATAAATGCATACTAGGCAGCAAGATATTTATGATTGCCCGAGGGGAGGAGAAAAGAGGATATAGTTCGTCTAAGCCACGGGCTTAATATGCCAATGATGTAGGCAAATACTTCGAGCTACTAATATCTCGCCGAATGTGGCTAAAGCTTGCACGTCTCGGATATGCACATGCTCATGTCGTGTAGCTTATGCGTGTATGTATAATCCAATAAGAATATCATGCGCCAAAGCAGGTACCTGGTTGGTGGCTGCGGCCTTGATATGCATCCGGATCGATGCCAGTTGTTCTTGTACGCCCAAGACAAGTTGTTTGCGCAGCAGTTAGGCCAATCGCTATTTGACTTGGTTAACGCTTGAACGGATATGCATGTAATCCCGCACCTCCATCGGTTCTCTTTGGTCGGTTATGTCATATCTCTTCCACCAATAAATAATATACCTAGCCATCCAGGTGATATAATAAATTCGAGAAGTCAACCTGGCCCGCTGTAGCTATCTAGCTTATAACGAACGGGTGTAAACGATACACACACGCACACACCCGATAATGTGACAGGGCGAGCTATTTGTTTCTAGCAAAGCATACCTAGTTTATTAGGTTAGGTAGGTTCGATGTTTGCCCATAGTAACACCAGGTTGCCTAACCACGAAGATGTTTCGGAGAGCAAATTATATAACTGCGGTGTAGGGCGTGTCCATACAACCGAATAGTTACCTCTTATGCACATTAACTCTTGTAGGATCACCCATTTGACAACAATTAACTCCGTATGATACATTCACCACAGAAACATCAAATAGCTTTGGTCATTCTAGAATATGATAGTGAGCATAGAATGGAACTTGATAGTCTATTTCTAGCTTCAATAGCTCGTGTTTATCAAATGTATAGCAGGTATTAGAGGAAGCTCAAGCTTCATCTGTGATATAAATCCGTGACATAATATTTTAGTATAACAGTATTCACAGTGGTTAGCTAGATAAGCATACGATTGTAATAAGTGATATTTGGTTCCAAGGAGCATGATGCTATACTATTGCTGACTGTCTAGACTATAATTATAGGGGATCTACGAAGAAGCTGGGGTGGAAGCATCCATGTCATCCCCTAAGATGAGTTAACCTACTACCAGCCCTAGAAACACGTTAATACTCATTAATCATTATACAGTTATTGGAACTTCTCAGATGTGTCATAAACTAAGAATAATTCATTGACTTTAACTGGGAGGCTATTCTACTCAAATCCCTGACTATTCTTTCAATACTCAAAGGATATCTATTCCTTAAGCTAACCCAGAATCAATCGCTCAATATCTTCATCCTGGGTGATATCCTCACCGTCCTCAAGCTGAGCGTTACCCTCGCGCCATCGCCATCTCTTTCCCATGAACTCCTTGAACCAACCCACGTTGATCTTACCCTCCAATACCTCAGATGAGAACCGGAGGGTATCTTTGCCCTGAGCGATTGGCTTCAAAGCCACATCTAGATCCGGCGCCACAAACAAGACAGCGCTGAGTCTTCTGACGCCAGGCTGGCGGCGGACTCTGTGTCTGACAGCTCGAAGCTCGCCGCCACTGATGATAAATGCGCACCAGCCACAGAGCATGACAACCTTGTCAGCCGGAACGGGAAGCCATGCTCCGGGCTGAGACGGGTCTTCGATCTCAAGTCCCGATGTACCATCCTGGAAGATGATGCTGAAGGTACCGTAATCGCGATGAGCGCCACAGCCATTCTCGCTCTCCGGGGCTGCCGTGACAGGGGGATAATCACAGAGCCGGAAGTTGAGGTTACGGCTACGGTGGAGCGGGAATAAGTCGGCACCAGCAGCTGCGCCTAGCATCGATAACATATTATCGAGATGCTTCGAAGTTAACTCCGAGAAAAAGGCGATGACTTCATCAAAGCCGTGAGGGGATAGAGATGACTGCAACTCAGCAGGGATGCAAGCTAGGCGGTTTGGCGAAATGTCGATGGTAAGCTTCTGATCCGAGATGCTGTTCTTCAATGCAGCACTCTTGAAGACTCCACGAGACGGATAGCAGGCATTAAGAGCATCTGCCGCTTCCGGGCTGGCTCGGAGATGGTCAAAGAGCTGGCGGATAGAGTCGAAGGGTGCCTTGACGCTGCTATCTAGGAGCACAATATCCGCCATATCCGCCATCTGAGGGGGCAACGAAGATGTATGAGTAGATGCATTGTTGACTATCACAGCAGTAGTCGGATGGATAGCAATGTCAGCCATTTTGGTTGATCAATACTAAGTTTCTCGTTTGATCTGTACGTGGGGATGATACTCGCAATGATGAGATGATGAGGTATTGGAGAAAAAAAAAGAGATGGGTATGAGACAACCTGCCTTTAAATATGGAAGAGATGGTGTTTGATACTTACCGTTTGCGAGTTGGAAACTCTGACTTGCAAACAACTTGAATTCAAACTTGACTACCCGTTCAACTAACTACCCAAACTACCTCCTGACCTTACAAACTATGACTCTTAGGTTCATACCAGACGGTTAGGTACATGTAGTTCATGTAACGGGTAAGAAATTGACAAGACCCATTTGTCTAATCCACTTATACCAGAAGCTTGAAGCTATGCGCGGAATGTAACTTTGGTGTATAGATCTTATACTTGAGTCTTATACTCAATTGCAACTTTTCAGTTGCGACCCTTCTTTAATCTGGTTGCTAAAAATAAAATCCCACATCAGCTAGTTTAATTCTAATTCTATAACAGCTTATTCTCTCTCCCTACCTATTATGGCTGTATGGATCTCTTGGCAGACCTGGGGGTTTTCAGCTCCTTCTAGCCCCCAACTTCCCAATCTGGGTTAATAGTGCCTTGTCGATTTCATTTCCGATCAATTGGTTCGTTGGCTTCTCACGTGCGTCTGCTGGCGTAATATTACTTGAATTTAGCTCTCCGCCCTTCCCTTAAGAGGGGCTTCGAACCCAGCCTTGCGATTTACCTACATATCTTGATCGACAGCATGTCTTTTCCTGAGCCGATATGGACCGAATGGTTTTCAGGTTACGGCAATTGCCCCTTGATTTCGATAGGTTAGATACTGTCCGACTACTTAGCACGGCCTTAGGTGTTGAGACTTCGGTGATTCGCATTTTCTCCCTTGCCCGCTCCGTTGATCCATGGCTCCCTAGCAAAGTAGCCACCTTGATGTTCAATGATGCGGCTAGTGTGCAGAATATTCTTAAACATGGAAACTCAAATGTTACGAAGAGGGATGATGAGTGGTGTATTGCCGTTGATAATATTCGCGACGGTTTAGTCTTGGATGCTCACTTTCGAGGCTTAACACCTTTATATGATCCAGACACTCATGATGCTGAGTAAGATTTCCCTATTACTTACATATTTGAAGTTTTGAGGCTCATAATTTTAGTTGCATCGCAATATCAGGACTTGCGAGTCACCCATTCGGATCTTGGCAGCCGAAAGGACGCTCAAAGTCGTTCATGTGGATTCGTGATGCATTGCCGCAGTCATTACGCAATGTACGACCTATCCTTTACGGCTACGATACTACTCTTGTTGAGAGCCTTTCGTTCCAGACGATATTCGATCTTGCCTTGGGATTGATCAATCAACTTAAGGCTAACGGATGGACCGTTGCCAACCTGCAAGCCTCTCGTCTTCCTCGCTCACAGCTTAGGAGGGATTGTTTTGAAACAGGCATTCGTATCGCTTGCGAATAAGATTGAGCGCGATGACCCAATTCGACAGGCGATAAAAGGAGCTGTGTTTTTCGGCGTACCTAATCTGGGCATGGCACAGTCGCATCTTATGGCCGTCGTGGAAGGTCAAGCTAATATGCAACTTGTCGAAGACCTTTCGATTCAGTCCGACTATCTCCAGTATCTCGATCAACAATTTAGCGGTATCTCGTATCTTCAAAATGCTTTACTCTACTGGTGTTATGAGACAAAGAAGTCACCAACTGTTGCCGTAAGGATACACGAGTCCTTTTCTAACCTTTCGCTTGTTGACTCTTCTTAGCTAGACTCGAATAGTATATGGTCAAGGACGGGACCTAGAGAGATATTAGTTACTCCGAACTCTGCGACACGCGGGCTATATGGAGAAAACAGGCGGTCTGACTCAATATGCCCGATTAACGAGGATCACTCGAATATGGTTAAATTCTCCGAGAACGACTCCAACTACTTGTAGTAGAGTGCAGAAGTTAGCCCAGATTCTTTTTTCGAAGACCTCATCTTTAGTTAAAACGAGAGGGAGAGACACGCTTATGCTCGAATCGAGCATAGTCCGGAGGATGATGAACCTTGAGGCGGCCCCGGTCAGGGGTCCAAGTTACGAAGGTAGGTAAATCTCTGTCATTATAAAGCGAGTCACTAACTTATTTTCAACTAGCGATTCTGCACTCGCTCTATGTCCCCGAAGGAGATCGCCGGGTTGAAGAAATCGAGGATAAGTTTGAGGACACATTTGACTGGATCTATGACCAACCGGACTCGGGTTTCGGTGAATGGCTTCAGAGTGATAATGGTCTTTTCTGGATCAACGGGAAGCCGGGATCCGGGAAATCAACTTTGATGAAGTTTATATGTAGGGATCGGCGCACTTCAGATCTGCTTTCCGACTGGAAAGGAGAAAGCAGCTATATTAATGTGGCTTTCTTTTTCCACTATCGTGGAACCTCGGTACAAAAGTCCTTCGAAGGCCTTCTGAGAAACTTACTGTCCCAAATCATCAAGAAGAACCCACCACTTGTCAAATTTCTTCAGTCCTTGTTCGATCCCGCAGAGTCTCTGCACCCGAGCATGTGGACGTTGCCCATTCTCCAAAAAGGGTTCCATACCATAATAAGACAGAAAGAGATACCGTTGCATCTTTGCTTATTTCTGGACGCACTCGACGAATATGATGGAAGACTGGAGTTCATATGTCAATTTCTCTTGGAACTGGGCAGAATTCCTCCTACGCAAACGAAAAGAATTAAAATCTGTTTCTCCAGCCGACCTTGGCAAATCTTCATCAATGCGTTCCATGATTGTGCCGGGTTTCAGATCCATGATTTTACACAAGAAGATATTAGGGATTACTGTCTTGGTTCTATCAGGGAAGAAAGCTTATCGTCCGTTTTACTCGAGGATCTGGTTCCCGACATCGTGATGCGCTCGAGGGGTGTTTTCCTATGGGTAAAATTCGTCGTTAAAGATCTTGCCCAAGCTACGAGGTTCAGCACGCTAAACAAGGAGGAGTTAGAGAGACTATTGGCGTCTTATCCAGACGAGCTTAATGATTACTATGCCGAGATCATCGAACGAATTCCACGACCGTATAGATGGAAAACATACGCTATGCTTGAGGTTGCCGTACGCTCTAAGGATTCATTGGAACCTGCAATATTTCTATGCGCTGTCGAGTGTTCAGAGTCCAAGACCATCCAGGACGGCCGTGTAGCTCTATCAAACATACACGGGATACACAACAGCGACAAACTTAGGGAATGGACCATGAAAGAATCGAGGAAGTATTGTGGTGGATTGATCGAAGTTGTTGAAGGACTTTTAGGCGAATACGTCCAGGTTCTCCATCAAACCGTAGAAGATTTCGTGACTGACCCAAAATTTAAGCAGCGAGTCCTAGGGAACTTAGCTAGAATTACGATCGAGAATGGCAATAACTTTCTAGCTAAATGTTATTTTCTCATTTACGAGACAAAGGGCGATCCATTCCTCCAACACTTCCATCATCTGACGACCCCGGCCACTCGGATGCAGATTAAACAAGCCCTCATTAATGGAACCTACGCGCGCGCTGCTGAGCAGGTTAGCGGTCGCAGTATGAAAGTGTTTCTGAATAGTGTTTCCGAAAAAGTTTTCAAGAAAATATATTTGAATCCGAATTAAAGATAGAGACACCACTCGAGTATGCCGCATCGACTGGGCTCCGCTTATACCTTTTCGAATCTCTTCTCGACCATCCCGACCTTCTGCGAACTTCTGAACATTTATTGCTGAGCTGTGTTGTCAGATCAACGGCAGATACCAAAGACGAAGAAATCAAGCAAACGGTTAAGCTACTGCTAGAGAACGGGTTCACACCACAAAAGGATCCAATGGCCTTCGGCCTGTGCGCCATGAAGACGCTTCGAGGCGACAGTTTATATAGAGCGGTTGATGACGACCTAAATCCACTTTTACGATCTCGTCACGTCGACTTAATCGAGCTCCTGCTCGACCATGGCCAAGAGCCCTATGTTAGCATTCCTACTATCTACCGTAAGAAGAACGTTAAGAGTACGCTATTGCACGTAGGCCCATTCCCAGCAGTGAAATTACTCCTGGAAAAGGGGGCCTTTGTGGATCCGTTAGATTCTCTGGGGATGACGCCCCTGGACCACTTCTGCGCGAGGAATTCGCTGAGGGCACCAACCTGGTTCCAAGCATATGGACACTATCAGCGACAGCACTGGGAACTTTATAAGTTGACCTGCCTCATAACATCTCGGGGTGGGACGATAAAAAATGCAAGCGCGGAGTCTTGGGAGCAGCTGTTGGACGGATTTTCAGTATCAGAATTTCCTACTGAGGACTTACGAAAATATATGGCCCCTATACTGCAGCGGCTAGCGGAAGAATCATCAAGGCAGTCGTTCGTTCAACGGAGTATCATTTCAGACAACGAGGACGATGAAGGATATCAGGGAACGTCATCTATACAGCCCGAAGTCCAATCAATATCCCAAGAAGAGGTCGTTCGCAGGACTCTAATAGAACGGCAAGTTCGAAGCACGCCAGAACCAACCCCTAGTGTGAAATCTCAAGAGAAGCAACCCCCCATTCCGGACCAGCCACCGGAAAATCTTCCGGAGCCTGGATTTCGACAATCACTGCGACAGTCACAACAGCTGCCCTCAAAGCACTCGTTCAGATTGAAGATTAAGAAGTTCATATATCGCCTGATAAGATAGGACCCTGTGTTGTCTTCGATATTAGCTCGTATATAAGGGCGATATTTCCAGATGGTTTTGGGAATTATTACAATCATCCCGTTGTGCCGGGCCCATTTACATAGTACCTTCAGTATATGTCACTACATGTACATGTTTTATTAACTGGTCTTCAAATTCCTGTCTTTGATATGGCCTAATAATCACCTTTTCAATAATTAGGGGATCTAAGATCCGCACTCGGGCATCTTGTCGCCCCGCGGCTCCTATAATACACGATGTCGGAGCCACCATCATCATCCGGC